AACAATTAAATATGGTTGGTAGTGAACCCTTTTAGCATAATTAATCAAAGAAATAAAAATATTTCGCATGCCATAAAAAGTTCACCCCTTAAACTGGATAACCGCAAAGTGTGGGAGAACTTTTAATATAAAAATTCGTAATTTGCAAACGACTAGGGGTTGAATTTTTATGAGCACATCTTTAGGGTTGCTAGTGAACCCTTTTGTCATAATCAATCAAAGACCTAAAAATATCTCGCGCGCCATTAAAATTTCACCCCTTAAACGGGATAACTGGAAAGTGCGGGAGAATTTTTAATATAAAAATTCGTAATTTGCAAGCGACTAGGGGTTGAATTTTTATTAGCACGTTTTTAGGGTTGCCAATGAACCCTTTTATCATACTCAATCAAACACCTAAAAATGTTTCACGCGCCCTTAAAATTTCACCCCGAACAGAGTACAGACGATAACGGCAAAGTGTGGTAGAATTCATAATATAAAAATTCGTAATTTGCAAACGACTAGGGGTTGAATTTTTATGAGCACGTCTTTAGGGTTGCCAATGAACGCTTTTATCATAATCAATCAAGAACCTAAAAATGTCTCACGCGCCGTAAAAATTTCACCCCTTCAAGTTCATAACTGCAAAATGTGGGCAGAATTTTTAATATAATATTTCGTAATTTGCAAACGACCAGGGGTTGAATTTTTATAAGCACGTCTTTAGGGTTGCCAATGAACCCTTTTATCGTAATCAAACAAGGACCTAAAAATGTTTCACGCGCCCTTAAAATTTCACCCCGAAAACTGGATAACTGTAAAGTGTGGTAGAATTCTTAATATAAAAATTGGTAATTTGCAAACGACTAGGGGTTGAATTTTTACGAGTACGTCTTTTGGGTTGCTAATAAAGCCTTTTACCATAATCAATCAAGGACCTCAAAATGTTTCACGCGCCCTTAAAATTTCACCCCGAAAAGTGGATAACTGCAAAGTGTGGTAGAATTCGTAATATAAAAATTCGTAATTTGCAAACGACTAGGGGTTGAATTTCTATGAGCACGTCTTTAGGGTCGCTGATAAACCCTTTTATCGAACTCAATCAAGGACCTAAAAATGTTTCACGCGCCCTTAAAATTTCACCCTGAAAAGTGGATAACTGCAAAGTGTGGTAGAATTCGTAATATAAAAATTCGTAATTTGCAAACGGCTAGGGGTTGAATTTCTATAAACACGTCTTTAGGGTTGCTAATGAACCCTTTTATTAAACTCAATCAAAGACCTAAAAATGTTTCACGCGCCCTTAAAAATTTCACCCCGAAAAGTGGATAACTGCAAAGTGTGGTGGAATTCGTAATATAAAAATTCGTTATTTGCAAACGACTAGGGGTTGAATTTTGTGAACAATTATATAGAGTTGCTAGTGAACCCTTTTGGCATAATTAATTAAAGCAATAAACATATTTCACGCGTCATCAAAATTTCACCCCTTAAACTGAATAACTGTAAAGTATGGGAGAACTTTTAATATAAAATTTCGTAATTTGCAAAGGACTAGGAGTTGAATTTTTATGAGCACGTCTTTAAGGTTGCTAGTGAACCCTTTTATCATTCTCAGTCAAAGACTTAAAAATGTTTCACGCGCCCTTAAAATTTCACCCCGAAAAGTGGATAACTGCAGTGTGGTAGAATTCTTAATAAAAAATTCGTAATTTGCAACCGACTAGGGGTTGAATTTTTATGAGCACGTCTTTAGGGTTGATAATGAACACTTTTATCCATACTCAATCAAGGACCTAAAAATGTTTCACGCGCCCTTAAAATTTCACCCCGAAAGTGAATAACTGCAAAGTGTGGTAGAATTCTTAATATAAAAATTCGTAATTTGCAAACGGCTAGGGGTTGAATTTCTATAAACACGTCTTTAGGGTTGCTAATGAACCCTTTTATTAAACTCAATCAAAGACCTAAAAATGTTTCACGCGCCCTTAAAATTTCACCCCGAAAAGTGGATAACTGCAAAGTGTGGTGGAATTCGTAATATAAAAATTCGTTATTTGCAAACGACTAGGGGTTGAATTTTTATGAGCACGTCTTTAGGGTTGTTAGTTAACCCTTTTATCATTCTCAGTCAAGGACTTAAAAATGTTTCACGCGCCCTTAAAATTTCACCCTGAAAAGTGGATAACTGCAAAGTGTGGTAGAATTCGTAATATAAAAATTCGTAATTTGCAAACGACTAGGGGTTGAATTTTATGAGCACGTCTTTAAGGTTGCTAGTTAACCCTTTTATCATTCTCAGTCAAGGACTTAATAATGTTTCCCCACCCTTAAAATTTCACCCCGAAAAGTGGATAACTGCGAAGTGTGGTAGAATCCTTAATATAAAAATTCGTAATTAGCAAACGACTAGGGGTTGAATTTTTATGAGCGCGTCTTTAGGGTTGCTAATGAACCCTTTTATCATACTCAGTCAAGGACCTAAAAATGTTTCACGCGCCCTTAAGATTTCACCCCGAAAAGTGGATAACTGCAAAGTGCGGTGGAATTCGTAATATAAAAATTCGTTATTTGCAAACGACTAGGGGTTGAATTTTTATGAGCCCGTCTTTAGGGTTGCTAATGAACCCTTTTATCATACTCAGTCAAGGACCTGAAATTGTTTCAGGCGCCCTTAAAATTTCACCCCCTCCAAAGTGTCTTAATATAAAAATTCGCATTTTGCAAACGACTAGGGGTTGAATTTTTATGAGCGCGTCTTTAGGGTTGTTAATGAATATTTCTTACGAGTTCTTTAAGAAATATTTCGATTCATTTTAGGAGGAATTGTACAAATCAGATAAGTCTTCCTATAAATTTTACTAAAGAGACCATTTGCAAATCTTAAAAATCATCAAGTACGCCAAGTACCAAATCAATGTAAGGAACGACGCAAAACCGAACGTGTTCAATTAGAGAAAATCAAAGGTGCTCCTCTGTTAAATAATGTCAAACTATATAGGTACATCAAAGTTACCATGTACGTACAACAAACTAGCCATTCGATAAATGAACAATACCTTACAGAAGACCGTGTACAATCATTAAAATCCCCAATTAAAAAAGTATCTCGACCGATTTCCTCGCATGAGGACAATAATTTAAGCGTGTGACTTTACAGAGAACATACCCGAAGAATAATTCAATCTAGTCTAGTTACCTTATTGGACTTAAGTCCGTAGACACTTTATAAGTTGGTCGTCTCTAATTATACCGTACGCATTGAAAACTAAAACTACTATACCTACTCTTATGTTGCCGCCAGTATTAGTTATGGAGACGTTCAACAAGGGGTGTACATTGAATTTTTGCTCGTTACCTTTCTATATGAAGATGTCTTATTCTCTCGATTTTTTTCGACGTGTTTTTATCTTGCAGTGCATTGCAATTATTCTGTCAATCACAAATCAATTTGTGTGACTTCCTTTTATAATAAATAACGGAAAACACGCGAAACCGTGAGAACAGGCTATTAGTATGGCGTGGACGAATAAGATTAGGTCTTCGGTATAACTAGCTTTCACGACATAAATTCAAAGGCATGTATGAGATTAGCGGTTTAAGATTTCGAGTTCCTCTACTCGGGCTGTTAGTTTGCGGCTAATGAGCACGGATATGGGAAATGTAAGCTGAGGATTCCGATTCCCTAAAAGAATTTGCCATTTCGCGTACTGCACTGTATTTAACGTGAATTTGGAAACGACTTTCTGACGGAAATTATTCATTTACCGAAACATCGAACCTAAGACGAAGAAATACTGTTTAATTATATGGTACATTATACTATTTTTTCTAATTTTTTTCTGCAATTCTACACTATTTTAAATTTCCTTGTACGATTTAGCACTTTTCCGGTTAATAGTTAATAGATCAGCAAAAATTGCTTTTTCCGCATTGCCCTTATGATTCGAAACGATCGTTCGAGAAACTAATTCAACATTTCGTACACAGAAAATCTCAAATTCCGATCTCTCCTCAATAGTAGAGAGATTCCATCTCACCAAATGCGCCAATTACAGGGTAGACTGGTCGACCAATGCATGTTCTGGAAAAAGAGAAAGCTCTTGAAACCAAAGAAATGGCTTGGAAAACCTCTTAGACGGCGGTGGAAAACTACACAGAGGTTTCTGGAAGTTGATGAGATAACCGGGAAAGTCCACAACATTCTGAAAACTCCTCCTACGGTCCTGGAAAACGCTACAAGGCTCTAAAAGCGTAAAATGGTTGCACAGATGCTTTGACAGGAACTCTTAGAAAGTTCTGAGGTTCACTTGTTAGCGTCTTCAGCAGCTTTGTCCTAGTGGCCTTCCAGAACCTAGTAACCTCCAACAGTCCCACTGAGAGCTCGGGATAGAACCACGTGCGGCTGATTATGTACAGACGCTGATTAGGATTTCCCCAAGGTGACGCTTCATGTAACAAGGTAGTGACCAAAAAGCCATTGATTTTAAGGCGTGGTAGCGTCTAAGGGAGTAGTGGCAACAGATAAAAGTGGCGTCTATAGGAAGATAGGGGTGCCAAACCTTTAAAACGCTATAATGATAATAATAATAATAATTTATTGTCCAAACAGACTATCTAGTCTAAATACAGGACAAACTTAAATATTGTTCAATAAAAGCCGCACAGAAATATAGAAAAATTAACAAAAATGTAACAAAAATAATAATGATAGATTTATAACTAAAGCGAACGAAAATTGTTAACAGAGTTATACAATAAACAAAATAAAGTCATAAATCAAAATACAATATTGGTAAATAATGATGCCAAGAAGCTGCAAGTGGTGACTCAAAAGAGCAGAGTACCGCGGAAAACTTTAAGTAACACTCCCACTAAGAGCTCTGGATTTAACGTCCCCGGGAAGTTTGATTGTATATACAGGATAATAAAAAAAAACATGTAGTGATTGATATTTTGCACCGCTTACTCCATACTATTGGCGATTAATAACAATTTACTAATACGTATCGTTTCAGGTTTCGATTTTGGCATTTCGGTGAATGGAAAGACGTAATGGTGGACGACAGGCTGCCGACCTTTAAAGGACGCCTAGTCTACTTGCACTGTCTGAACGCGACCGAATTTTGGGCGGCCCTCCTCGAAAAGGCATACGCGAAGTGAGTATACCACTAATCTCTGGGAGGAAACACGGACGCTTTTGTCGTAGGTTTTACGGAGGTTACGAGAATTTGCAGCAAGGCTCGACGACGAGGGCACTGCAAGACTTGACGGGCGGCATAGTACAAAGCTTTAGTTTAACGCACCAGGACAGATATTTGACATTTCAAGTGCTCAACAGCGCTGTTCCGCGATCTAGTCTACTTATATCCACGATAGCTCAAGTTAGTAAACTTCCTCTAAGACTATTATTTACAATTGACTCTTTCAGGATAAAGAAAACAAACGCCAGTTACGTTTGCGGAACGGTTTGATCACGCAACACGCGTATAGCGTAACCGGTTTGGCGCGGGTCAGGGGAGTATCCGGCGAAACTCCCTTGGTTCGCCTGCGCAACCCATGGGCCAAAGGAGAGTGGACGGGGGCCTGGAGCGAGCGGTCCTGGGAGTGGGATGGGCTGTCCGCGCGTGACAAAGAATTGCTCAGTCTACGCGTCACCAACGACGGGGAGTTTTGGTACGTCTAACGCCACCATTTTACCTCCCTAAAATGAGCTCTTCAGGATGTCATTCGACGACTTCGCCAAACATTTCACCCAACTTGATTTGGTGCACGTGGGTCCTGATGATTGGATGTTGGAGTCCGCGTTACACTCCAAACAACCATGGCGTGCGGTACTGGCTCGTCGAAGATGGCGCGCTGGTTACAATGCCGGTGGAGGACCCTCCTTCATAGGTAAAGCTTCGGGAGCTCACCGCCATACTCATAACTTTTTGCAGACACGACCTCCATGAACCCACAATTCCACGTTCAAATCCCCCGAACCTCCAATAACAAATGTCACGTGGTCGTGTCCATAACTCAACTGTACGAGACCTTTTGCGCTGACATCAAGAAGAGGAAGCCGTTGTACGCGATTGGGTTCGCAGTTTACGAAGTACCTCACTCAATGCCAAGACTTACGCAACACTTTGTCGCCGAACAGGTAAGCCCACAGCCATCTTCCACACAATAATCGTTTCACTTAGAAACCCCTGGATGTCACAAACCACTCGGTGGCGCGCGAAGTTGTTACCTTTTTCACCTTACCTCCGGGAGACTACATCGTCGTGCCTCAAACGAACATTCCAAACCTCGACGGTAAGTTTCTGCTCCGAATTTTGACGGACGAGCAAAGCAACATATGGTGAGTACGTCAACCTTTTGACGCGCAAACGAGATAAGATTTCTCATAGGGAAGTCAACGAGGACAATATGGTAATTAAAAACATCGGGGCGGAGTTCATGCAAGAAACGCAAGTGTCTTTGGTAGGTTGATCTTCGCGTGGAGCTCGGGCTCACTTTTCATTTATTACAGACCGAAAAAGTGATTCTGAACAAAATTCTGGCGAAGTACCCGCCGGAAATTGATGCTAGTCAGTTGCAGAAGATCTTGAGGGCCCACTGGAAGCTGTACCTTTCGGAGAAGCCCAGTTTGGAACTTTGCAAAACGTTGATTATGCTGCGCGATTTTAATATCAGCGGAAAGATCAACGTCGTCGACATTCCCATTTTAATGTCCCTGCTCCAATTTTGGCGGGTGAGTTTCCTACACGCAACTCCACTCGATTTATCGATCACTGTTACTAGCTTGCGTTCCAAAAGTTTGAGAGAGGTAACAGCGGGAAAACGTCCAGTTATAATTTTAGGCCGTTACTGTGGGAGGCTGGTTGCACTGTCAGCAATAAGGTATTGGAATGTTTGGTACTTCGATTCACCAAGAATCGAGTGTTGACGGCCGAAAACTACATCATGGCAATGGTTCGACTGCATTTGTCTCACGGTAGGTTGGGACGATCCATATGGGGAGCTTAACGAAGCTTCGGAGAAATAGCAAGAAATCTCCTCATAGAAAAAGGGGTGCTATTTCTCCGAAGCTTTCTCAATTTGTACAATAATATAGCAGGGCAATTGCAGAGAGGCACCACAGCATCGATTCCAAAATCAAAAGCAACCCTTTGTCATTGGAAGAGGTACGTATTAACATAAAATCGGTCCCAAGTCTAACCTACTTCTCCTACAGATGATCCTAATGACGACCTACTCATAAAGCAATAATTATTGTGATCAATTTTGGAAAAACCAAAGAATTTTTAACATTAATCTAGTTATTTATTTAAAACATATTAGTATTAACCCACCTGTTATGTATTATGTATATCATTATTAGTCTTGTGTCTAAGCTCAAAGTGTAAACATTTTTACTATTTATACTAAAATAATTACCTAACTGTGCAATAATGTGATCTGTAGGTATTTAGTTTTGGAACTTACTGTTTATAGCTAATAAAAAGAACTCGGCTTTTCTAGTTTCTGTTTCTATCCAACTTTAAAATATGTTCTTAATATACTACGGTATTTTTTGAATATTCTGCTAAGGTGGCTGAATTTGCACTAGTTTGGAGATAAACATATCAAAAGTTCCCGCCTGTAGCTCTTAATCTCGGTGGAGGGGGTCTCTCTTTTACCCGGCTCATCCCCCCCCCCCCACCGGGTACAAGGAAACTATGCGTCCTAGCGACATAATCACTTTATCAGATGAAAACTGGTTTAATTTGCTACAAGTTTTACTTTTTTGATATCTTGTATAGTTTTCGAGACATCCGCTCTTATGTAATTTGGGAACGGGACCTAGCTCGATCGCGACTTTCAAGAAAGAACAGGCATTAAAGTCTGCGCAGTCTAAAGCATCGCATCTGCATTTCCCACGTTTGATTTCAAGAAGAATTGTTTCATTTCATCAGGAAACTATTAAGAAGAGTCAAGACAAAAGAAGGAAGGTACATCCAGTCCGCACTTTTGATTTCCATAAAGTATGTATGTCCGTAGCCACCATAAGGAATGATAATATTTGGGGTGAAGAAATAATTCTTCGCCTTTCCGGTGCTAATGACGCCCTTGCAGAAGCGGGAATTTATTAAAATGACTGTGGTTTCATCAAGCCCTTATATGCTCATGAGAAATCAGGAACTTCCTCATGCGAGTACGTAGTAAAATAGCTTATACCTTCATTGTTAATAATACAGACTGCCAGTTTTTACAGACTGAAATAGGGAGACATGTATGGGAAACTATAAAAGTTCAACAGGCATCAGGTGTTTCGCTGACAAAGATGCCTAAGTTCTTGGTGGCTGGAAAACTCGGAATTGTACCATTCCGAGACATTCCGTCATTGTGAAAGAACTGATAATCCCAGATGAACCTAATTATCCTGATCCTCATGAAATCCTGTTGTAGATTGCTAAACAGCAAGATTTGTAATTTCCCGTGTGGAAAGAGTACATGCAGTCCATAACAGCGTAAAGACGATAGACGCTTCCCTTCATCAAAATCCGTCATTCGCTTGATGACCTCCTAACTAGTCCAAACAAATTTCCCTCTATACCTTTTTTCGAACCTGTTTTCTTGTTCAATAAAGGCTGTAAAAATTCGATGCGTAAGAGATAATTTCGTTAGAAAATTGTAACGTTTAAGTGGCAGATTTCAAAAATATTACTAATAGCATTGCATCACCGTCCAGTCCGGTTGACCCTCAATTGATATCTAGCGTAATACAAATTATTCTCATCAGTTATTCGTTTGACGCGGAAGGAGCGACAAGTGCCTTCGTTTAGAAATAGAATAGCATACAGGGGTGAGTTTTTATTGTTCATAATTCGCTAATTGCATATTTCAATATTATGCTTGTATACATACCTAACCTACTTTGAATATTGCATCGTACGTATACTTTTTTGGGAACATTGCAGCTATTTTCAATTAACAATTGCAGACGTACAGGGTGGTTTATTAATAATGGTCGCGGGCCATATCTATGGAACCGTTAAAAAGCCACCAAGAGAAATCGCAGGAAATTATTTTCAAGTTTCTAGGTTCGCCGCTAAAGGGCCTACGGTTCATGGCTAACTAGAAAAATGATTTTTTCCTAAAATATACCCCACAAACATGCTTAAAAAATACATGCAACGCTTTCTTCTATGCGGCACATACCTACTGCTCTACCTCTTAAAATCTGACGGGTGGGGAAAGGGTTGAATGTAACTTCGGTTTAAATTAACCGAGTTTCACATAATTAATCTTATTGGAAAGAGCTCTTTTCGTGTGTGTAATCAAATTTTACATGAATAGAGTCTTTTTAGTGAATATGATGAGTGATCGGTGCCTTATATGCAAGGGGGCTAAAAGGGCTATAGCCCAAAGCAGCAACTTTAGGGAGCGTCAAAAACTAGAACATACAGAAACCTCCTGTATAATATTAATTTATTAACACGCTGAATAGACGCGTTCGCCTGTAATGACGTCTCACGTGCACGTCTTGTTTGCGTCTTTATCTTTTAGCGCTGTTCATTCATGGGTTGATGCACTTTCATGTATGACCAGCCTAAAAATGTGTCCCCTAAATATGAAGTAATAAGTAACGCGTCTTCGTTTTTCCGTAGATTTTCTGTTGTGGCTCATATATGTGGAGTGATACGTTTTTAAAATGACACACTGTATATTAATGTTTTAATGGGGTAGTTGCAATAAAACACAGACGTAAAGTAAAGACGATCTTTATTCGACTACAGCTTTCGTGTGATTGAATTTTTATTAATGTGGCCAAGGGTATAACTAACATGTATTCCTTAGAAAACAAAGAGGGTTTATTTTATATATGGAAATCAAGCATGACGCCCTTCTAACATTCCTAGACATTTTTAGTGCCTTACAATTTCCCCCTTTTACCAATCATAATATATCAATTAAGTGTGACGCGACATATTTTTTGTATACCTATTCAACACTCCCACTCAAAAAAAAATTCGTCGGAACAGAGTAACTAATTCTACAGTAATGTTATAATTTACTTCCTAATCTTACTTAATTTTAATTTCTGATAGATTAGCATAAACACTAAAGTAATTGATAACTTATTCCTGTAGTCCAAGTTTTTCTCTGAAGTGCAGGAAGTTCACAGGTGGTATAGCTTTTGTAAATATGTCCGCCGGTTGGTTATCTGTAGGAATATATTTCAGCATTATTATATGTTTTTCAATTTGATCACGCGTGAAGTGATACTTAATATCGATATGTTTTGTTCTTTTGTGATTTGTTGGATTTGTGGCAATGCAGATAGAGCTTTGATTGTCTTCATATATTAAAATTGGGTCAGTTAATTTCCAGTTAATACTAGATAAAACTGATCTAAGCCAAATGGCTTCCTTGACACCTTCATAGAGTGCCATATACTCAGCTTCAGTTGAGGAAGTTGCGATAGAGTTCTGTCTTTTAGAATTCCACGTAATAGTACAATTTTCAAAAGCTTGAAATAAATAACCGGTAGTACTTTTTCGGGTAATTTCATCACTTCCCCAGTCTGCATCCACATATCCAACTATCGGGTTTTTATAATCACTTCTCACGTATGTTAATTTTAATTTCAGTGTACCTTTAATATATCTGAGTACTCTTTTAAGGCATTTCCAAAGTTCGATATTATTTTTAGTTTGATATCTACTCAGAATATTACAAGCTACACTGATATCAGGGCGAGTACATAGCATTGCATAATTCAAACATCCTATTAAATTTTTGCATGGTGCATCATAATATTCGTCGCTATTTAAAGCTGTGTAATCAAGTTTAAGCGGTAAAGGAGTTGCAACACTCTTGCAATCGGACATATTAAATTTTTCTAAGACAGCTTTCAAGTATAAAGTTTGATCGAGTGTTATTTTATTTTCCACTCGTGTAATTTTAATGCCCAAAAATAATTTAATTTCTTCCAAGTCGAGCATATTGAATTTTTGCATCAAGTACGTTTTAAAATTTGTCATAGTGGTTACATTACTTGTAGCAATAACTACGTCGTCAACGTATAATATAACGTAAATGTTTTTATTAATATGTCCTAAATTAAGGAAATATAAGCAGCGATCGACTTCAGAATTTTTAAAATTTCGTTCCTTTAAAACTTGATCGAATCTTTCAAACCAACACCTAGCGGATTGCTTTAGCCCGTAAATTGCTTTATTTAATTTACAAACGTTATTGTTAGTTATTTGATAAGTATCATTTAGGCCATCAAGAATTTTCATATAAATTTCCTCCTTTAAACAACCATTTAGGAAAGCAGTTTTCACGTCCATATGATGTACTTTTAAATTAAATTGATTTGAAAAAGCTAATATTAGCCTGAATGTTGAAATTCTGGCTACAGGGGAGAAAGTTTCATAATAATCAGTTAAATATTTTTGCGTGAATCCCCTCGCAACCAGTCGAGCTTTGTAACGTAATGGATTCCCATATTCATCTTGCTTGATTGTAAAAACCCATTTACAATCAACAATATTTTTATTTTGAGGTTTTTGTACTATAGTCCATGTATTATTAATATGAAGCGATTTTAGTTCGTCCTTTATGGCATGCTCCCACTTAAGCTGATCATCCCTACCTTTTATGTCTGAATAAGTCTTGGGGATCGTTAAGCGTATCATGCTTGAGCTTAGTAATTTAACATGAAAATCACCTAGTTCATCCAGAATCCAGAATCCAGAGGTTTCCGACTCTGCCAATTTAATTTCGCTATCATCATCTGCTTTGGTTAAGCCAGATTTATTAGTGATTATAGCGCTATCTGATTTGATTAACTCAGATTTATTAATTGTATCACCATCTGCTTTGGTTAAGCCAGATTTAGTGCCATTTTGATATTGTGACCTTATTTGTACTTGATCACTTGCTTGATTGTTACTTGGCATCGGATTCACCATCTCATTATTGAAGGGCGGTCTTGTTAATTCAAAATTTAGTTCGTCGAATAAAACATCGCGAGCTCTAATTAATTTTTCGGTTTCATTGACCCATATCTTGTAACCATTTGTCACGTATCCTACTAGGATACCCTTATAAGATTTAGAATCGAATTTACCGTTACTAATTTTGTTATGTACAAAGGCGGTTGACCCAAACACTCTCAGATGTTTTATCGAAGGTTTTCGGTCATGCCACATTTCGTATGGGGTCTTGTCTGTCTTTAAAGCTGCAGTCGGTGATCGATTTATTAAATAAACTGCAGTTAAGACAGCTTCGCCCTAAAAGGGTTTTGGTAAATCGGCCGCGATTACCATTGCACGGGCCTTTTCGGTAATTGTACGATTCATTCTCTCACTTACCCCGTTTTGTTGTGGGGTGTGACTAATGGTCAAATGATATGTTATTCCCTTCTGTGCACAGAATTCCTTATATTCATTTGAAAGATATTCGCCACCATTATCGCAATACAGATTGACGATTTTTGAATTAAATTGTGCTTCGCACTTAGACACGTAGTCTTTAAATACATGTATTACTTCTGATTTATATGTTATCAAATACACGACAGTGTAGTGTGTAAATTCGTCAATGAATGATACAAAATAATTTTTATTATCTATTGTTGGTGGTGTAATTTTGCCACAAACATCTGTATGAATTATAAATAGCGGCCTTTTTATGTAATTTTTTGTCTTTGATTTTTGAAACGGCAAACGCGCCTGTTTCCCATAAATGCAGGCTTCGCACAGTTCATTGTTAGGTGTTAAATGTTGTATTATGTGTATATCATTAAACATCTCACAAGTTTTTAACTTTAAAAATTTTTGTTTACTTATATGACCAACCAAGGCGCTTATGCCACAGATTATAATTATTTGCATCATTCACTGGACTATAATTAATAAGGCGATTAAACGTCTTAAATGTTACACCTACTAAACCATTTATTGACTTACCAGACAATACGATGTTTTTGCCATCTTCAATAGTTACCCCCTTTTGGTTGAAAATTACTGTCATGCCCTTTTCCTGTAGCCGAGGAACGGATAGCAGATTGCAAGGAACTTCCGGGGAATAAAGGACGTTTTCTAATCGTCCGCGGACTCCCAGGTTAGTTGTAACTTCAATGGTTCCGCTTTTAATCGCCTGTATCGATGTCCCTGACTTTGCAACGGAAATAATTAATGGTGGGTTCAGGACCTCGCTAGTAGTGAAGACGTCTGGATTATTTACGATATGCTCGGATGCTCCGGAATCCAAATAGAAAAATAGTTCATTGACACTGGGGTTTAAGTCGTATCGATTTTCACCACCCATCATAAAGGCAAAACCGTCACTTTTATTTATGTGCTCACTGTCAGCTGTTAATGCATGCAATGTTCTCGGACGATCTTCCCAATTTTCGCACATTCTTTTAAAATAAATCCACTGCGATTTTTGGTGATTATGCCTTCCACAATGATCACATTTAATGTTTGAAGCTTTAAAGGGTGTTTTATAGTACGGTTTTCGGATCTTATTTCGGTGTGGAAAACTGTGTGGGAGTTTCATATTTTTCTTGTAGGCTTTCTGTCGACGATGGAATGGATTTGGTGAGTTATAATTTCTCTTGAGATTTGTTGAAGGTGCCGCATGTAAAACTTTCATAGTTGTCGAGGCAGTTGCTTCCCCTTTTAGTTTCACCTCGTGGTCTAGCAAGCGTGTTTTTACGAAAGCCGTACTCAGGTTGTCTTCGCTGAGTGTTTCAAGGGCTGTGATTACTCCATCATAGCTACTTGGCAAAGTAGTCAAAAGATGTGATACTTTGTCCATTTCTTCCAACTTAGCACCAGCCGCGAGTAACTCTGCGATGATTTCGTCGAATTTGGCGAAATGTGTTAATAAGGTCTCGTCACCTTGCAGTTTTAGGGCTAATAACCTCCTTCGACTGGCTAATTGTGTGGCGAGACTTTTTCTCTGGTAGATTGCGTCCAGGCTCTCGAAAATATGTTTGACATAAATCTTGTCCTTCGCAAAATTCAGAAATGCGTCGCTTAAATATTCGATAATAATATTTCGAGCAGTCGCGTTTTTCTTCAGCCACGAATCACTTGGTTCGGGGGGAACATCCGCGGTCACAACGTCTAAAACTTCGAGTTCACCGAGTAATGAATTTACACGAAATTTCCAGATCGCGTATTTTTCACCTTTAAATGGATTTATATTACGCTTTTGCCCTTTCTCCATTATGCACTTAACACTTAAACTTAGAACTTGAGTTTTTAATTTTTACTTCGGCGTCTTTTTACTTTCTGCACTTCGCGCACTACCCACTTAGTCAATTCGCGTTATTTAGCTGGGCCCATAACCTATTAATGTTTTAATGGGGTAGTTGCAATAAAACACAGACGTAAAGTAAAGACGATCTTTATTCGACTACAGCTTTCGTGTGATTGAATTTTTATTAATGTGGCCAAGGGTATAACTAACATGTATTCCTTAGAAAACAAAGAGGGTTTATTTTATATATGGAAATCAAGCATGACGCCCTTCTAACATTCCTAGACATTTTTAGTGCCTTACAATTTCCCCCTTTTACCAATCATAATATATCAATTAAGTGTGACGCGACATATTTTTTGTATACCTATTCAACACTGTATACAAAAAATACAAATCTAAACATATTTTTATTATACACTGCGGCGTGCGGGTATATAGTCTTGAACTATCACAATAAATCTTTTAGTACCTAAACGTTTTTCCAAAAAAAAAATCATCGAACACGTCAATTTTTTAAATGAGACATATATTTTACTGTAATTGTCACTTAAGGATCATCCTTTGTTATTGAGCTATGACGTAAGCGAATTTCGATTAAAAATGCAAAGGGCTGTAACTTTTGATCTAGTATCCCAATCTTCAAACTGTTTGAAATTATGGATTCTACAGGCCAAATTCTATAAGAAAATGTTTTTCCCGGTCGATCTCAGTTTATTACATTTTTGTTTTGTCTGGATTCATTAACAATTTATTAGCGTTAAACCAATTCCATAGCGTTTTCATTATATGATGTAGATAACATTCTAGATCGTCATTTCTACAAGCGACACTCTCACTCGTGTCGTCCGCATATTAATGCGGAGATACGTAAAATTAATTGGCAGATCGTTAATAAATATTATAAAAAGAATGGGACCAAGGATAGATTCTTGGGCACCCCATACTCAACCAATCTTTGTTCTAACGTTACCTCTATTACTATCTATCTGCGCTCATTTAAATATGATGTTAAAAGTTTTAGGGTAATTCCCCTAATTCCATAGTTGGAAAGTTTTGACATTAGCAGACCGTGATCAACCATGTCGAATGCTTTGGATAGATCGCAATTAATGGATGCTACTACCCTTATTATGAGCATCGTTCACAAAGCTGTGCATGTGGACTTATTTAATCTATAGCCATGTTGCGACTCATTGAAGAGATTATGGAATTCGAAGTAGGACATTAACCTATTTTTAAAGCCGATTCTAGTTCTGAATTTTTGGATTTATGTACCTATAGGTATCATTTTTGACACTTGATCGTGCTTTGAAAAGACGCCAGCAGTTCATTAACAAAATTAGCGGTTCCTGTATAAGATCAAATACTTCCTTGTAGATTTTAATAGTGATATTATCGCACCCATGCGCGTTTGTCTTATTTAGATTAGTTATTATTATTATGTTATACAATTCGTTCATTGTTATGGGCGACAAAAAGAACGAATTTTGTGGTGACGGCAATTCTTTGGTAGAGTCAAACATTTTAGGAATCCTTTTTTATGTTTTCTCGTGCTGAACAAACAAACTATTCGTTAAACACTCTCACAACTTCTTGAGGGTCATCAATTACTTTACTATCTAGGTATGTATATTTAATGATATATGTATTGGAGATTTTATAAATTCGCCTGTTTAGGTTATTATTGCCACTGTTCGAGTGAATTTTTTTGCGTTTATAATTTTTTTTAAAAAACATTTAAATGTGCAGTTTATAATTCGCAATTAAATTTGGGTGAGAGATTGCGGTTCATAATCAAACAGTTATGGCCGCCAAATAAAATTGAAACATTAAGCATTTTGAAGCCCAATGGATTTATAAATCAGTTCTTAATAAACTGTGCAATGTTAAAAGTAAAAGAAACTTAATCCTCTCATTTCTGAAAAGGTTGTGATCGTTTAAAAAGACCTATTTACCGTTTTTGAGAACACTAGAATGCAATCATGTGTCTGATAGACAATATTTTTACAAACATTACAGACTTTTCAGTTACGGTCTACATTACATATTTCTCAGATCACAATGCTGTTGGTAACTTTTTTCAGAGACTACTGTTAACACTTTTCCTTTGAAGTGTAGGTTTGCAACTTCCTCTACTTCTAGGGATGTAAACTGGTTTATTGATAGTTTAAATTTTAAATCAACTGCAAAAATGAATTAGTAAAAGCAAAAAAGGTGGCAAATTCATAAAAAACTCTAAAAATAAGGTATCTGCGATATGGGAAATCATTAAAGACAAGAACACAGTAACATTTGCACCATGTGCGGAACTCAACTGTAAAATTTTTAATGACTATTTCATTGACTCAATTGATAACAACGTTCCAATAGATGATACAGATCCTTTGCAATTGAGCCATTTTACCTTTAACTTTAAAGAAGAGGGTTAGTTCAGTTAGAGAGTGTATTGGCTGTTATATATTATTAGAGTTGGCAACAGTGTGTTATAGAAGTTGGTATTATGAGTTTACTTTCAATAAAGAAATATAAAACATGGCGCAGTCTTGTGGAAATTAAATTAATAAAAAGCTTTGTGCACTGTTTAAATTAATAAAAATGAGTGACGTAAGGTTGCCGCCGCCCATGTCGTTTGAGGGAAATCTTTCCGAGAATTTTAAGAGGTTCCAACAACATTTGGGAATTTACCTAATTGCAAGTGGCAAGGATGAAAAAGGGGATAAAATTAAAATAGCTACCCTATTAAATCTCATTGGTGATGAGGGAGTAGAAGTGTATAATACCCTTAAGTTAACCGAAGAAGAACGGAAGGTATATGCAACCGTATTAAACGAGCTAGACGCTTATTTCACACCGAAAAAGAACGTTGTTTATGAACGATTTGTATTCTACAATAGGAAGCAAGATGAAGGGGAATCGTTCGATCATTTTCTGACGGACCTAAAGAAATTAGTAAAAAGCTGCGAGTTTACTGAATCCGATTCCATGGTTCGAGACAGAATTGTATTCGGCATTCGGGGGAAGGCGCTGCAAGAGAAATTGCTGCATATGGACGATTTAGATTTAAAGAAAGCTGCAGAAGTGTGTAGAGCAAATGAGATAGCTTGTGCACAAGTTAAAGATGTGCAAGGGACCAGCAGAGACAATAAGATAGATGCGATAAGAAAGACCCATCCTCGGGGACATCACAAGAGGTCAGAACACAATCGACATGGCCAGCAACGAGGCCAGCAAGTAGGTGAAGGTAAAGCAGAAGCGTTCAATTGTCGTAGTTGTGGATACACACATGTCCCACGAAAATGCCCAGCTTATGGGAAGCGCTGTGTTCGTTGCTCCAGGTACGGACACTTCCAGAAAATGTGCAGAAATGACAACAAACGAGTGCAAGAGATCCAAGGAGTGGAAGACCACAGCGACTCTAGTTACAGCCATGGAGAAGACAGCCCAGACGATGAATTTTTAGTGGCAAGTGTTACAGTTAATGAAATTAAAAATTGTAGTGAGTGGACAGAATCCTTAAAAATCTGTGAAAATAAAATAAAGTTTAAAATTGACACTGGGTCACAGGTAAATATTCTGCCAAAATATGTATTTGAGCAAATTCACACAGCAGATAACAATGTTAAATTGCAAAAATGTGGTCTCACATTAGAGGCATATGGGGGATTTAAAATTTTGCCTTTAGGATCAATAGATGTAAATTGTGTATTTAAAAACAAGACGTTTAAGGTACAATTTATTGTAGTTAAGGGTAATGTAACACCTATGCTAGGTTTAGAAAGTTGCATAAAATTAAATTTGATATCTAAAGTAAATTCAATAGTAAGTATAAATAAGGAAAATTTTATTAAGCAAAATCGAGATGTATTTACGGGACTTGGTAAATTTAGTAAACAATGCACATTAAAGTTAAAAAGTAATGCACAACCAGTTGCAAGACCACCTCGTAGAATACCCCTCGCAATTAAAAATAGATTAAAAACTCAATTAGATAGTTTACAGAAGAGAGGTATAATTTCGAAATATGATGAGCCTACTGAGTGGCTGAGTAACCTAGTGATAGTAGAGAAAAAGGATAATAGTTTAAGGTTATGTTTAGATCCACGAGATTTAAATGAAGCTTTGGATCGAGAATTCTGTATTATTCCAACCATTGACGAAATACGATCGAAACTACAAGGTCAAAATTATTTTACAGTTTTAGATTTTAAGGAGGGTTTTTATCAGGTTGAACTAAGTGAAGAATCTCGTAAATTATGTGCGTTTGGTACACCTTTTGGAGTTTATAAATTTAACAGACTTCCATTTGGACTCAATTGCGCACCTGAATTTTTCCAAAAGTTAAATGATGAAAATTTTGGAGATATAGAAGGATGTATAGTGTATTTTGATGATTTACTTATTTATGGGGATTCTCAGGAATCACACGATAAGGTTTTAAGTAATGTTATTCGTCGTGCTAGGCAATTAAATGTAAAATTTAATAGCAATAAGATTCAGTATAGAGTAAATGAGGTGAAGTATCTTGGTAACAAATTTAACAGTGAGGGAATGCAACCAGATGAGGAAAAAATTAAGGCAATTTTGGGTCTTAAGCCGCCCACAAATAAAAGGGAATTGCAAAAGATTTTAGGTATGATTAATTATCTCAGAGCGTACATTCCTAAACTGTCAACCTTGTCTGCACCTCTTAGAGAATTGCTTAGAAATGATACAGTATGGATGTGGAACAAAAAACAAACTGATGCTTTAAATGAGATAAAAGCGGTAATCAGCTCGCCACCCATTTTAGCTAATTTTAACGAAACAAAACCAATTGTTATTCAAACTGATAGCAGTCAAAGTGGACTTGGCTGTTGCCTAATGCAAAATGGTAAACCTGTTGCATATGCGTCGCGTGCCTTAACAGATGCTGAATCTCGGTTCAGTCAGATTGAGAAGGAGTTTACAGCGATATTATGGTCCTGTACAAAATTTCATAACTTCATTTACGGCAGACAAATCATAATTCACTCCGATCATAAACCATTAGAATCGTTGATGCGGAAAGGAGTTGCTGAAGTACATTCGCCTAGATTGCAACGGATCAAAGTCAAACTTTTAAAATACAACTTGACTGTGATTTACAAACCAGGAAAAGAAATGTATATTGCAGACCTGCTATCACGAAACTATCTGCAAGAACCAAGACAAGACGACAAATTTATTACAGAAGTGGTTCACTCCATCAATATGACCCAAGAGAAGAAAACAGAATTCCAGGAAGAGTCGAGACAAGATAGCGAAATACAGAAGATCATGTTTTACCTTATCCAGGGTTGGCCATCGGACGTTTCAAAAGTACCAATTGAATTGAAGCCGTATTTTCAAATTCGTAACGACCTCCACAGTTTTGACGATCTACTATTTTACAATGACAGAGTTATTGTACCAAAATCGCTCCGTTCAAAAATGCTACAATTTTTACATGAAGTGCATTTTGGAATCACAAAAACCCAACAGAGAGCTAAGCAGATATTATTCTGGCCTGGACTTAATGGTGACATAGAAAACGTCGTCAAAGAGTGCCCAGTGTGTGAAAAGTATCAAAGAAGTAATGTAAAAGAACCAATGATACTGAGAAAATTTCCAAAATTACCATTTGAAAAAATAGCCAGCGACATATTGGATTATGGAGGACAGTCCTACTTAGTAATCATAGACTACTACTCGAAATGGTTGGAGATCATCAAGTTGGAAAGAAAGACGTCGCAATCGATTATTAGGGCGATGAAGACTGTGTTCTCATGTCATGGGATACCTAAAGAGGTGTATGCCGACAATATGCCGTACAATTCCCAAGAATGCAGGGACTTCTCTAGAAAATGGAATTTCCAATTTGTGACCTCAAGCCCCCATTACCCCAAATCGAATGGACTAGCAGAAAGAGCAGTGGGTATTGCCAAAAATATGCTACGGAAATGTGAAGACTTGGATTTGGCCCTTCTTGAATATCGAAACATTCCAGTCACAGGAACAGATAAATCTCCTGCTCAACTCCTAACGGGCCGATTTTTAAGAACAAAGCTACCTTCTGCTAACCACATGTCAATCCCAAATCCAGTAAATTTTGAGGAAGAAAAGAAGAAGCTAGAAGGACAGAGAGAGATATACAGGAACTACTACGACAGACATGCAATGAAAAGGAGAGAGTTTCAAGAAAAAGACAATGTAGTTGTGCAACATGGCAAAACTTGGGAACCAGCAGTAATTACGAGAAAGTTGGAGACACCCAGGTCATACATTGTGCAACAAAACAATGGTCGGTATGTACGAAGAAACAGTAGTCATATTAGACCCTCACGTGGACATCATGACATGAAACAAGATTTTCTGGACTTTGAACAGCATCAGGAAAATCCGGTGCAAACTAATAATAATAATAAACAAACCAACATTCAACCAGTTCATAATAGTACAAACTTTGCCCCAAGAAGGAGCAACAGGGTTACTAAACCACCAACAAAATTTATTGATTATGAATTGAAAAGAAATTGAAGCATGAGGTTGTTTTGAGTTTAGTTTAACTAGATTAAGTGATTAAAAGGGGAGGTGTTATATATTATTAGAGTTGGCAACAGTGTGTTATAGAAGTTGGTATTATGAGTTTACTTTCAATAAAGAAATATAAAACATTGGCCGACTACAAAATTGCTGTAGCTAAGATCTTTATGACATTACTGTATCTTATTTATAACATTCATCTAAAACGACTGACATGGAGTCATTGCATAAACTTTAGTTGTAATGTACTATTGCTGGTCGGTAATAATGCTTCACAATCCAATTATATGAAAATCGCCCTCAAATATCCTCGACTGTGTTTAGTGGATCCTTTTTAATGCATCACACTGTATATTGGGATAATGTAGGCACGTGACGACCATTTGTTTCTGTTAGGTAACATCGGTAGGCGTAGGTGTACTTAAGGTTACGTATGCATGCGTAATTCAGTTACGAATAAATCGCCGGTAAGTAGGGTTGTGTGATTCGTTCGTGTTTACATTGCACGTGGAGAATTTTTGAAATGAGTTCAGTACAAAACCCGTAAAGCAACAGTTCCTACTTCGAATCCGGAGGTCAAATTCTTCATATTCCATAGACGAAAAATCTGTAGATCAGGCAGAGACGGAGATACGTTGACCTGTTCAACTTGAATTATGGTATTTTGATGTATGATAACTTCCCAGAATAAATCAATGTTCAGGTTACTTATCCCAAAATTCAAATGAATATCGAACGAACCCAATCCATAGGCGAGAGGTGCAGGGGTCGTTCAACGAAATATTGGACATTGTGCCTTGAAATTATTCATCTGAAGTAACTTGCCAGTACGTTATGTGGTCAGTGATACTCGATAGTAGCATTCAATATTTATTCAATGATAGTATAGTCTGGTTTCGCTGCCCTGATTGAGAATCTCTAGATTAGTACCTACTTGTCTATATTTAAGTAATGATTTACCCTTTGATTGCACACTATAATAAGGTTGTTTTCTAACAGTGTTCTGTTCGTTCTGTCATCTGATTACTTGGAACTCGGTTGACAGAATCTCTCGGGAGATTGCTATTACTACTAACTTGAGCTTTAATCTATAAGAGTCGTGATATCACGGCAGTAGAAGAGCTTTAAGGTGCGTGGCTAGAAACATAAATTCATGTTCTTTCATTGCCGTGTACCAAAAAATGGTTCCTTATGTGCCTCTAAGACTAGAAATTCTGCCTAAACTGACAGCAGCCGCCCTACAGTGTTGCAGGTCTATTTGTATAAAATTATCTGTCATAGACGTACCACCTCGCTCGTCTGCTCCTAACCGAAGAGAATGCTGTCCAACATTCGTACAGAACCTACCACCAGGTGGAGCAGTGGTCGAGGGTTGGGAATGAGTCCACCAACTGGGGATGGACAAGGAGTCATCAGGGGCTGACACCGGTGACCCCAAACAAGGAACCAGGCGTACAAACTTTGGTCGGACCTAGTACTGGTACGTACTTTGTGCATATTTTTAGCTACCTAGCATATTCCAACAATAACAGACCACATCACTATCATCATTCAGCCTAGAATTGCTGAAATTCTTACAGCCTAGCATTTTATAGAAATAATTAATTCCTTTTTACTGCCCTGCTGTACGGCAAATTACAATTTCTTCAGTATATAACTTAAAATGTACAATGAAATTGCAGGGCAAATAAATGTCAATGTACTTAGGTAAGTACTTTTGCAAAATTAACGCGAACAATTTGTGGCGGGCAGTTAATACATTTGAGTTTATTCGCGAACAGACATATCCCCAGTTGCACCAACAAAATTAAGCCTTGCTTAAAGTTAAGTCGAACTTAAAATCTATGGCGACGATTATTAAGACAATCGTTGCTATGGTATTTAAGTTATGCTTAACTTTAAGGGATACTTAATTTTGACGGTGCAATTGGCCCTGAATCGATTAGATATTTTTCGCAGTGTGCATTTTGCGAAGTAATTTCGTGGTACTAGTTTAAAAGAATCGAGCGTACGTAAAGAAGTGTCGTGAAAAGTTTCCTTTCCGCGAGAATTTACAAATCAGTCGCCTCGACAATAGTATACAGATTTCAAATTTTGGGGTGTTTAGGTTTTTATTACGAAAGAGTGACATAAGACTTCCTCATTTACGTACATTATTCGAACGTTTGTTCATTTTAGAATTTAAGAATAGGTAATTCATCTAGTTATTAAACGACAGAGCAAAGGGATGTAAGCTTTGTAGGGGAGTCGACGGTGTCCGTCTGCCCGTCTGTCCGCCCATGAACACGATAACTGCCAACCGCTTGGACCGATTCGGTTCAAACTTTGCAAAGTTAACCTACGTGGTACATGTAACAAGCCTATTGAAAATTGGTTTAATCCAATTACCGAGGTTCTCTGACACTTTTTTAGATCCCCTTTAGGGGTTTATAAAACTACGGAATGTTTTAGATTCTACGCACCAAAATGTATAAGAAATCCAAAAAGATTCGTACTTTTTCGATTAGACGTCTCAATCAAAAGTTATGGGCAAAAAACCAATTTCGACAAAAAATTCAAAGGGCTGTAACTTTTGATCTAGTAGCCCGATCTTGGAACTGTTTGAAATTATGGATTCTACAGGCCACATTCTATAAGAAAATGTTTTTTCCCGGTCGATCTGAGACAATTTTTTTTTTCGAGCCCCAAAAAAAGGCAGTGTATTACCTTCCTTTTTCCCCAAAAATCGACTACACCAAAATTTGTCGGGAAAAAACTTTTTCTTGTTAATTTTGGTGCGTAGAATCCAAAACGATTCGTACTTTTTCGATTAGACGTCTCAATCAAAAGTTATGGGCAAAAAACCAATTTCGACAAAAAATTCAAAGGGCTGTAACTTTTGATCTAGTAGCCCGATCTTGGAACTGTTTAAAATTATGGATTCTACAGGCCACATTCTATAAGAAAATGCTTTTTCCCGGTCGATCTGAGACAATTTTTTTTTCGAGACCCAAAAAAAGGCAGTGTATTACCTTCCTTTTTCACCAAAAATCGACTACACCAAAATTTGTCGGGAAAAAACTTTTTCTTGTTAATTTTGGTGCGTAGAATCCAAAACGATTCGTACTTTTTCGATTAGACATCTCTATCAAAAGTTATGGGCAAAAAACCAATTTCGACAAAAAATTCAAAGGGCTGTAACTTTTGATCTAGTAGCCCGATCTTGGAACTGTTTAAAATTATGGATTCTACAGGCCACATTCTATAGGAAAATGTTTTTTCCCGGTCGATCTGAGACAATTTTTTTTTCGAGCCCCAAAAAAAGGCAGTGTATTACCTTCCTTTTTCACCAAAAATCAACTACACCAAAATTTCTGGGGAAAAAACTTTTTCTTGTTAATTTTGGTGCGTAGAATCCAAAACGATTCGTACTTTTTCGATTAGACGTCTCAATCAAAAGTTATGGGCAAAAAACCAATTTCGACAAAAAATTCAAAGGGCTGTAACTTTTGATCTAGTAGCCCGATCTTAGAACTGTTTAAAATTATGGATTCTACAGGCCACATTCTATAAGAAAATGCTTTTTCCCGGTCGATCTGAGACAATTTTTTTTTCGAGCCCCAAAAAAAGGCAGTTTTTTTCACCAAAAATCGACTACACCAAAATTTCTCGGGAAAAAACTTTTTCTTATTAATTTTGGTGCGTAGAATCCAAAACGATTCGTACTTTTTCGATTAGACGTCTCAATCAAAAGTGATGGGCAAAAAACCAATTTCGACAAAAAATTCAAAGGGCTGTAACTTTTGATCTAGTAGCCCGATCTTGGAACTGTTTGAAATTATGGATTCTACAGGCCAAATTCAACTGATTTGATCTGATTTATTTCATAAATATCTCAGATATTTTGGGATCAATCTTTTTTAATCCGACTACACTTTTTAGCCGGTCTCAAGCAGTAAGTACCTACCTCCATCGCTAGCTATCTAAAACGACACTTTTCCGATGCGAAGTCCGAAGGAACTAGTCAACTCTGCAGTTGTCAACAAAGACGAACATTCTTAGGTAGGACAATGAAATCCTGTCTACGCGTTTACTGGATAATCTTATTGTTGTAGGGATGAGTACTATTTACCATCACCACTTCGAATTCGGCGCTGTCATCATCATCATCATTGCGGTCCATCCGTCATTGAGGATTACTCTAAGGTAGCTACTAGTAGTCAATCAAAGTGACAATGGTGTTTCACTAAGTACTAGTAGCTTCAATTGATAACAAAATATACGTATTAAGTTATTTATTTTTTAAGTTACAAGAAGATCTTTGTATACAAAAAAAGAAACTTATTTAATTTGTTCATCTCTAGAATAATATTGTACTGCCCTAACTGCACTTTGCTGGCAGCTGGCACTAGTTCATCACACGACATAGTCTCCCCCAGCAAAAAAACAATGAAAACTGAAAGCAAACGAAATTTTTTTAATTAAAAAGAGAATCTATATTTAAACTTTATTAAAAATTACACAAATGTAACTATTGAAAACTACAATAAAAAAGTTTAAAATTTTTTTTGATTTTTTTGAAACATTCCTTTTTATATCAAAACACTTTTTTGAATCACTTTTTTGAATCACTCCTAACTTTTTTGAATCACTTTTTTTGAATCACTCTTAACTTTTTTGAATCACTCAACTTTTTTGAATCACTCTTAACTTTTTTGAATCACTTTTTTTTAATCACTCTTAACTTTTTTGAATCACTCAACTTTTTTGAATCACTCTTAACTTTTTTGAATCACTTTTTTGAATCACTCTTAACTTTTTTGAATCACTCAACTTTTTTGAATCACTCTTAATTTTTTTGAATCACTCTTAACTTTTTTGAATCACTCTTAACTTTTTTGAATCACTCTTAACTTTTTTGAAACACTCCTAACTTTTTTGAATCACTCCTAACTTTTTTGAATCACTCCTAACTTTTTTGAATCACTCCTAACTTTTTTTGAATCACTCCTAACTTTTTTGAATCACTCCTAACTTTTTTGAATCCCCCCTAACTTTTTTGAATCACTCCTACTTTTTTGAATCACTCCTAACTTTTTTGAATCACTCCTAACTTTTTTGAATCACTCCTAACTTTTTTGAATCACTCCTAACTTTTTTGAATCACTCCTAACTTTTTTGAATCACTCTTAACTTTTTTGAATCACTCTTAACTTTTTTGAATCACTCTTAACTTTTTTGAATCACTCTTAACTTTTTTGAATCACTCTAACTTTTTTGAATCACTCCTAACTTTTTTGAATCACTCCTAACTTTTTTGAATCACTCCTAACTTTTTTGAATCACTCCTAACTTTTTTTGAATCACTCCCAACTTTTTTGAATCACTCCTAACTTTTTTTGAATCCCTCCTAACTTTTTTGAATCACTCCTAACTTTTTTGAATCACTCCTAACTTTTTTGATCTAACTTTTTTGAATCACTCTAACTTTTTTGAATCACTCTTAACTTTTTTGAATCACTCCTAACTTTTTTGAATCACTCCTAACTTTTTTGAATCATTCCTAACTTTTTTGAATCACTCCTAACTTTTTTGAATCACTCTTAACTTTTTTGAAACTCACTCCTAACTTTTTTGAATCATCACTCCTAACTTTTTTGAATCACTCCTAACTTTTTTTTTTTGAATCACTCCTAACTTTTTTGAATCACTCCTAACTTTTTTGAATCACTCTTAACTTTTTTGAATCACTCTTAACTTTTTTGAATCACTCTTAACTTTTTTGAATCACTCCTAACTTTTTTGAATCACTTCCAAAAATGTTCACGTATTATTTATTTACAAAAAGTCAATAAAATGGCACATTACCTGCGATGACCTATTGAAGTACGAGGCCCCTTTGGGGATGAAAACGCACACTTTAGTCCCTTGGTATATATTATGTACTATTGTGAAGTTTATTTAGGAAGGGAGGAAATAAAAGAAAGCAATGTTCATCCCTTTTCAGGAAGTACCAACCCTTGTAATGTAGTAAAAACAAAGTTGTCTACCTTAACTTACAAGTGGTCTTTCTTGTAGTAATGCAGATGGCCCACCATGGAATATATAGGTAGACACCAACGCCTTTGCCAACGCCTGTGCTCAATCCATTTGTAGTAATTGCACTACGGTATTCCGAGGAACGATCTCAAACGAAGTGGAACAGAAGGCTATTTTTTTAACTTCCGGTAAACTTCCTATAAGAGAATACAGATAAAAACCAAAAAAGAATGTATCATCTAGGTTACTCACCTTGACGAAGAGGCATTTGTCGCATAAGTGAATACTTTCTTCATAAAACTTTGCTGCCAATGAAGGTAAGCTGTGACAAATTCTTTCAATTCCTTGCGAGTTTGGAAACGCTGCTCCTTAACTCAATTCTTCGGGCACGATCGAAGTCATAAGGCGCTAGGACGGGATTCCAAGAAATTCTTGTAATTGTTGCTTTGGGAGTTTCATATTGAGTTGAGTTGGGATTTCAAAAATGTTTTTGATCGGACAAGAAACGCCAAAGCGTCAAGTTTTGTAAAACTGTAATAGAAAGATCATTAATTTATACACCCTAATAATTGTTGCGGTTCTACTAAATAAACTACCAAATTTCTTAACGAACTTTAAACTTCCATAATTTTCTGACCTTATGATTCTCAGTCAACGCAGTTTAACTTTTTTAGAACGGGACCCTAAATCGGTTGCTTATAGTTGCACGTGAAAACTATCTGGTCAGCCCAACGATTGGGACATGCTAATATCTTAGAGGACAGTACTGGTCGCCTTAAATGTCAAAACGTGAATTCTTCTTTTCTCGAAGATCGTAGTCATCGAATGACAAAACGTGAATCTCCCTCTTTTCATTGGTTAGTGCTTGTCTTACTACCAATCCTAGAATGCTTTAAGGTCCTTAATCAATTCCAAAAAATTCTATAGTTACAGTATGGATTAAAGCATGTTAATATAGAAGACTAGTTACGTCTAAGCTGAAATTAAATTTCATTTCCTATTTCATTTATCAACAGTACTCTATCAAACTCACTGAACACAGTTTGGTCGCACTAGAAAGCTCTCTTTAGAGTTTAGAGTATATATATAGGTAAGAAATTCAAAATAGTACCTACCTACGCCCATCTCTCCACTACTCCTAAACGATTGTAAGGATTACGTGTATTCGTAAGAAAAGGATGAGAACTTCTTGATGTGCCACCCAATCTTAAATCGAAATCAAAACTCACCCTTTACACGTGAGAATATAAACGCGTTTCGTACCAAACAAGGCACATACACGTACAGGCGATTCAATTTGTAAATGAATTGCATACATACTGTGACGACCGCCGGAGACTACGCAATAACGTCGTCTGATTGGCCCGCTCGGTTAGCCATTAGCGTGCAAGCCCGACCATTTATATACCGGCCACAGGCTAGCACAAGGCGATTCGCTGCAACTTCATCTTCCGATCCAGCCGACCTGCAGCCACTACCAGGTGCGATACTGACCAGTAGCGCCGCCGCTTACGGAACTCCGCCGTTTCATCTTCAGCACGCACGCACCTGTATACATTGTAAATAAATCTATCTACTCGACTACACAGCATTTTATTTAGCGTTGTCCGCTAAACATACGTAACTGCAGTGTTGTTAAACAAACAGATGCAGGTCACCTCACCACGTACCTACCCACCTCCATTATCATTTATGTGCAAAGTGCCGAATCACAAAAATATGAAAGTTTTCCATCTGCATCAAATACAGGACCCATACAGTGATATTTATTAAGAAGTAGACATAGGGAGTTATGTGTATTGCTTTCCCTTACGTCTACTTTTAAATGACCAAATCTCCTCTGAAGGGCGCCTGATTTTATGCATCCAAAATAACTGACTGTCATATTATTTAATTTGAATATTGTTGCTTTGGCTTAACAGAAAATAAATCCCTTATGCTCCTTAAACGGTGACCGGTACTATACCAATTTACAATATCAACTTTGTCTTCAGTTGAATACATCGCACACGAACGAAAATAAAAATATGGAAGCCAAAGCAACAATATTCAAATTAACTAATTAATACGATTTAAAAACCCGCCTTTTTAAGAAGTGGAACAACCAATGCAAAACCTCATTTTTAACTAATTTATTATCGGTAACAGCGGTATAGCAGCTTAATTCAAAAATTATTACTCTGTGGTTTTAGCGAATACTAAAGAAATATTCGTAGACCACTAAATGTTAAAAGTAGAAAAGTTTTTATTTCAAACGTTACCAAATTACTGTTGTTTATTATTCTCCCCATCTCCTTGGTCACCTCATCACTAGGTTACTTCTCGACCACTTCGATATTTCGTTACCGCCATAGGAGCCCCCCCCCCCCCCGCGGAAACCGGAGGTTAGGGAATCGTACAGAACGACCAGAACGAGTCACATAACTAGGTCGTCGGTTTTCGACATTTGGAGAAGCTGAGAGCTGTACAGGAATGGGAATCAGTCGGTATCAAGGAGATAAGCAATCGAAGTGTTTGTCCGTAAACAAGTTCGGCTGGGGAAGCTCGGAGGTCCTCTTTGACAACGCTACGGATTCCAAGTAAAACAATGTGTAGCGCCTCAGCCAGGAAGCTCCGGGGTGGCACATGAGCGCTGCTTTCAATTGTATATGAAATCTTTAGGCCATTTGATGCTGGGTGGTAACTGCAGGTGCGTGATCGTTCTGTACCAAAAACAATGTTGAGGGCACGAAAGAGGGCAGATTCAAATTGTCGTCCCTGATCCGTGGTGATCCTCGTAGGGGAACCAAAACGAGATAGCCAACAGTTCACAAAAGCTTCAGCGACTTCTTCAGCGGTAATAGACTTGAGAGGGTACACTTCGGGCCATTTTGTATACATATCTACAGCAGTCAAGCAATAGCGATAGGGTCCTGCAGGTGGAAGAGGATCAATGTGTACATGCATAAATCGATTAGAAGGCAGGTCGAAGTTCCCAAGTGGTGCATACTTGTCCCTGCGGCGGTAACGAAATATCGAAGTGGTCGAGAAGTAACCTAGTGATGAGGTAACCAATTTGCAAAACTGAGATCCGTCGGAAAAGTTCGTCCAAACGCTGAGAAATTAGATCTGTACCAGGTGTAATGGAGGCAGCGTGCACTGCGGCGGAATTAGAAGCAGTGTTAAAGGTCGTACCAAGCTGAACCTCTATGATCCGCTGTAACGGCGAGCGTGCCGGTAGTAAGACCGGTTTGACTGATTTGAGGTTGCAGTATGGCTTGGTGCAAATGGTGCGGAGAAGGCTGTCTAGAACAGTGGTACTGCCGACTAGAGATCGTAAATGACGGAGAAATTGAGGAGTACGGTCACAGAGTTGTCGTACACGACGCTCTTCTGACACGGACAGACGACGAATTATTTGAGTCTTGAGGGTGGTGTATGGATTATCAGCAGGAGGAGTGGTGATCAAATCCAAAAGGAGCTAATTTTACACTCACCCGGTTAACTTCCAATGGCAACGCCGGTTGTTCATTCTGATGATGTTGCTGTTCCTGCGTTTGACCAAAGGGTCCGTTAACTTAGCACCACCATTTCAAATTTCTGACGAAAGATAGATTGCGCTAGAATCTCTATGGCTAGCGCCACTTTGAGTTCAGCTAGCGCCATTATAGATTTTGCAAAAAAGCCCTTGACTTTCGGGGGGTGCTATGTTAACGCTAGCACCACCATTGCGTCCGATCATTTCCAAAAGCAAGCGCTGTGTTCATCGAACCTAGCGCCAGCTAGCGCCACAAATTTTATAGCTAGCGCCACCCCCCAATAGTGCGGGGGGCAATTTTTCCTAGCACCACCATTTTGTTTTTTCATGTAAAATTTTGACGTTCTGTTCTCTGCTGACCTAGCGCTAGCTAGCGCCACAAATTTTAGGGCTGCCATCGCCCTCCAATAGTGTGGGGGGGGGGGCACCACCATTTTGTGTTTTCTGGTAAAAATTTTATGTTTTCTGTTCTGTAGACCTAGCGCTCAAGTTAACCTAGCGCAATTATAGATTTTACAAAAAGCCTTTAATTTTGGGGGTGGTATATTAACGCTAACACCACCATTGTGTTCAATGAATACCAAAAGCAAGCGCTGCGCTGTGTTCTTTAAACGTAGCGCCACAAATTGCAGAGCTGGCGCCCAATCCCCAACATTGTGGGGGGTCCTTTTTTTTATATTACCACCGGTTTGTTTTATTCGTGTACACTTTTGCTATTTTGTGTTTTGCTGACATATCTCCCAGAGTCAAAATCTTAAGAGTTGGCGGCACACCCAAGTAGTCTGGGACAGTTTTTCCTAGCTTTACGACTGAAATATTTTGGATTCATTTTCGAGTAAAACGAAAACCTGCGGCAAGTATAAAAATTAGGAAATACAGTTCAATTATAGAACAGAACCACATTTTTATACCTTTCGCAGTAGAGACATTGGAACCTGGGAAAACGCATTACCAATATTACTGGGAAAATGTCAACGAACGTACCTACTCATAACCAGAGCTGAGCAATATTCGATTTTGTAAATACTTTGTAATTAAATACTTTTATGGAAGCAGTATTTGTATTTGTAACTCAAATACTTTTGCAAATTTTTAGTATTCGAATGCTTCGCAAAGTATTCGAATACTCCGCAAGGTATTTGAATACTTTGAGAAGTATTCGAATACTTCGCATAGCATTTGAATACTTTTAAGTAATTCAAATATTTGACAACTATTTAGAAATTTTTAGAGGAAGTTTCCGTTATCACAAAATCAAATATAAAAATCCGATGCAACATGAATACCGAACGAGCCTGGAGTGAAACTTTTTGACCCGATACACACGGACAGACGGACGGACAAAAAAGGATCTGTTTCAAAATCGCTAGAATTAATTTCAGAAAGATGTACGTGTCATGTGCACGACGTACAATCGCTTTGAAAACTGGTACACGTATTCTTAAGGATATAACTAATATAAGACAGGTCCTGGTACCTCCTATATAATAATATAATAGCAATAATACGCTTTTACTCCCCTTAAATTTGTATATAACAATAGAAATATAAAAAAAGCTAACCTCAGCTCAGGGAAAGGGACTACATTCAGTGCATAAAACGCTGTTCTTCCATGTTGCCTCTATACAAAGTATAACTTGACATTTTTTTAAGTATTATTAAGACTTTTATCTAGTACTATTTTAAATTTTTAATGTATTTGAGTGACAAGTATTCGAATACTTTTTATAGTATTCTAATATCTTTGGTAGTATTAGAATATTTTTGAAAGTATTCGCATCAATCAGCATATTTATTTGTTAATTCTGCTAAAAAAACAAAGAAGTAGATTCTTATATACTGATGTGTAATGTGCAAATAATCATAAGGCATATGTATTTTATATGATTAATACACTCCATTAATATACGACCAATCAGCTTGGTGATTGTTTCAAATTCTAACCAATCAGATGATTTTTTATCTGATTAAACGCCACGTAGCTTTTTAACAGCGATAAAAATGCGTGTAGGAATGCGTAAAATATGTAGTGGTTGTAAAATTTACTGTCTTTTATTAATCTCCCTAAAATACACTCGACCTTGGTTTTAAGTCAGGATAATTTTATTTTTAATTCACTCAAATTTTGTTGCCTCTTGGAAAAAACTCTCGAAAAGGATAATATTAATAAAATCGCTCCAGCAAAAACTGTCGCGATTTTATCACACTTTTGGTCTCGAGTTTTTCGGTAGCAACAAAACTTTCATGTAAAAATAAAATTATTCGATTAAAAATCAAGCTCTTGTGTCCCCCGATAAATTATATACCTATGTACGTCGCGTCGACTACTATCTAAAGGTGTTGTTTTTAACAATACAGATATACCAAACTTTACACAATTGACGCGCCTGTAAACCCTTGATGTGACAATTAATTTATAACTTTTGCGCATTCATAAAGGATTTAAGTAAGTTTGTACCTGCATACCTCACCGTCTGTTTACTTTGAAATGAAGGGATGTTCATATTTACAATCTTGCTACTTTACATACAAATTTTAGTATTTTTATTGGAACTTTTTTACTTTAAACAGAACGATCAATCCAAAAAGTAAAGGATTTCAAATTAAAATAATTTGTTTATTATTTCCGACCCTAAGAGGGACAGATTTGCACATTCGGGTTTAAAAATGGTAAAGAGTTTGACCATCCCAGATGCGGTGTCTGTCCGTCTGTCCGTTCCCACAATATCTCCATACGAATGGACCGATTACGATGAAATGTTGTAGTTGGATTCTTTATCAAATTTGTAGATCGAAGTTCGTGAATTGGCAATATAGCGCAAAAAATAAGGAAGGCCCTTTTGATATCTACGTGAGTTTTGAACCGAATTGCATGAAACTCAATATTCGTATAGCTTTAGCTATATAACACGAAATTCCAAAAGTTGAGCCTAATCTATCAACAGTGACAGTGCCCTTTTCGCATCGACGTGTAAATAAATATCGAAAACGAGCTCCTGGATATGGCTACAGCATGTGCAAAACCAAATTTTGAACTTGGTGTTAGTTTTGCTTTTATTTAAAGTGTATATGTATGAAATTTCATTTAATTGCTTCCATAAATAAGAAAATTGGCACCGCACATCATGCACAAAACCAAATTTTGAAACTGGCGTTAAATTTGCTTTTATTCCAAGTTGCTATGTATCAAATTTCTTTTAAATGCTTCCATAAATAAGAAAGTCTTCAATCCGGTTTGTAAATGGCCGAGATGCGAAAAGGGCACTGTGAATGTTGATCGATTAGGCTCAACTTTTGGAATTGCGTTTTATATGGCTAAAGCTATACCTACGCATATTGAATTTCATACAATTCCGTTCATAACTCACAGAGACGTCAAAAGGACCTTCCTTATTTTTTGCGCTATATTGCCAATTCACCAACCCCGATCTACAAATTTGATAAAGAATCCATCCATTTCATCGTAATCGGTCAATTCGTTATCGAGATATCGTGCTAAAATGGTGGTGCTAGGAAAAATTGCTCCCCTCACTATTGGGGGGTGGCGCTAGCTCTACAATTTGTGGCGCTAGCTGGCGCTAGGTCTGACGAACACAGCGCTTGCTTTTGGAAGTGATCGGACGCAATGGTGGTGCTAGCGTTAACATAGCACCCCCCGAAAGTCAAGGGCTTTTCTGCAAAATCTATAATGGCGCTAGCTGAACTCAAAGTGGCGCTAGCTATAGAGATTCTAGCGCAATCTATCTTTAGTTAGAAATTTGAAATGGTGGTGCTAAGTTAACGGAGCCGTAGAAATAACTATTTCGTACTTCCGAGACTAAAGTGACAACTTCACTCCATTATGACAAGTACTGAAGTGTCACTTTTTGTCCCGCCGGGATTAAATTTGGACGAAAATCCCGGAAGGATGAAATTACTAACAAGGCAATTTCAGTAGGTTGTTCCACATTTTGTATGCGGCACTACTTCTTAAACGCATCGTACCGCTGCTCATGTAGTTTTTTGGATTTCGGTGGTATCAATTCTTTACCTACTTTGGCTGCTCTTTTATCAATATCAAATACCCCTTTGTCACCCACGACCAAACTTATGACACTAGCAATGACAGTTTCCAAATTATTTTTGTTACCATAGCATAAGGTTTGTCGTACCAACACAACGTTCCTATGGTAACTTGTTAGAAAGCGATTTTTTGAAAGAACGCGTTCTCTAACTCCATACATATTATGTGTTTCAGTTTCGGAAGTAGGAAAAATAGCGTATACAGGGTGGTGCATGGTAAGTAGGAACATAGGGATTTAACATGGGAAATTAGTTTTATGCAAAATCCTGCCCTCCTGTACATTTTACAGAAAAGTTTAAAGTTGTTCAGAATTAAAAGATGCATACAAAACTGTTACATGTTTTATTAAGCTTTTCGTATACCCGCAAATTTAAAAATAAATTTCAACATTTCTGTTCTGAGAATGCAAGAAGTAAAAAATCAACATGGTAGAAGACACCGCATCGGTGGTTTGGTGAGTAATAAAGACAAAGCTTTTAAGATATAATAAGATAAGTGTTGAAAGAAATCTAGTTAATTTAGAAATTGACACTGGAACATCTAGGTCAGTGGCCCATATATCTTTTTTAAACAATAGTTAGGTAGCACATAAAAAGTTACTTAATACTTAGTGTTATTAAATACAGTTTGAAATTAGTTACTAGTCAAATAGTTAATATAGTAGGTGAATTCAATGTACTTGTTAAGTCAAATAATAAATCAATTATTGAAAGATAAACCGATTGAGAAACGGCTCCTTTCCCTTTTTTCTTGAATCTTTGAGTGCAATTTCCTGCTTAAGAAATAATAATTCCAACGTGATATTCACGACAATATATTTTTACAATCAAACTCAATCCATCTCCACTTGTTAAGAAATTTGGGTTCGAGGTGAAACCACTACATTTCTCTACGAACTTAAGTTTCCATAAATTTCTGAACTTATGATTATCCCTCAACGCAGTTTAACTTTTTGAAAACGGGCCCTAAATCGGTCGCGGTTGATACCACGTAAAAACTATCTGCTCACACCAAAGATTAACACGCTAATCTGTTAAAGAGAGGACCGTACTGGTCGCTTTGAATCTTAAAACACGAATTCTTCATTTTTAGACGATCGTAGTGATCTCCGCAAACGACAAAACACGAATTTTTCCTTTCTATAAGACCGTACTGATCTAATGGCAAAACGCAAATCTTGCTCTTAGTAAGTGAATAAAATTTGATCGCCCACAATCATAGATTATCATTTAAAATTGCGATGTCTAATTTCTCATTGGTTAGTGCCTTTCTTACTACCAATCCTAGATGGTTTTAAGGTCGTCCAATAATTCCAAAAGCAACGCGATCAACATTTCTTGAGTTAGTGATTTTATCTCATGATGAACTAAGAAGTGTAGTACCTACTGCATCCCAATTAAAATTAATAATAAGTAAACAGAGTCCTCCTAACTCAGTCTCCCGGGCGCGACTAACGACTAGAGGCAATTAAAAAAACAAAGACGCATTGATAGATAACGCGCAAAAATACCCAGGAGTGCATACAGTCGACCAGTCTGTTTTTCCAAGTCTTGCCCAAAACCCTTACTCCTTTGTAAAACGTATTTAAAAACAACGATAGAATTCCGCTTTACAAATTTCTGCGAGAAATTCAAAAAATGCTCTCGTTACATTAGGTACTAAAACATGTTCATATAGAGGGCTAGTCGAGGGAATAATTCCCTTTAAATTATATGTAAGAAATTCAAAATTGTACGCCCCGCACCCCTAAAACTCCTAAACTAAAGATTACGTATATACAAAAGAAAATGTTAAAAACTTCTCAATGCGTTACCAGTCTTTTGTAAAGGAAATAAAAATTCAAAACTCACCCCTTTACAAGTGGAATATAAACTCGTTTCATACGAATGGGACACAAACAACCGCACTCACTGGCGATTCATTCGAAAATGAATTAGATACATACATAATCTTACATAAACTTCTATATTGCTAAACGAACAGGTGCAGGCCACCTCACCATGTATGTACCTACATTATATTTATATGCAAAGTGACGCACCAAAAAGAGATAGGATGAAAGTGTTCCATCCCCAAACTTTAAAATAATGAATTTATTCGTATTTATCTTTCCCTTTGTTTTTATTGCTTCCGTTTACTGGCTTACATATACCTACGGCGACATTCATAAGAAGTAGGCATAGGAATGTACGCGTATTGTTTTTCCCTATGTCTACTTTTCAATGACAAAATCCTTCTGAAGGCCGCCTAATTTTATACAACAAAAATAACTTCTTAAAACAAATGAAGATCAGGCTGTCATATTAATTAATTTTGGCTTCCTTATTTTTATTCGTTCGTGTGCGATGTATTCAACTAAAGAAATAGTTGTTAACTGGTATATTTCCGGTAACAGTTTAGGGAGCGTAAGAGATTAATTTTCGGTGAAGTTAAAGCAACAATATTCAAATTAGTTAATATGACAACCAGATCGTTATTTGTTTTAAAAGTTGAATTTTATGCTAACTAACTCCACAAATTGCGAAATTCTGGCCAAAAACCCAAAAATGTGATTTTCGAGAATGCACTGGCGACCAGGCGTTCATTTAATTTCAAAGATATCAAAAAATAATTTTAACAAACCCCATAGTTTTTTCTCACCTTTCTACATCAACTTTCTTATTTCATATGGATTTTTACGTGACTAGTTAAAGAAATTACAAAATCGGAGATAGCAAATACTTAGTATTTCACTCGGAAATTAATCTTGAATTATTGCACTGAAGTTGACAATGTATTTCTTATAGAAATAATTCCATAGCTTGCTTAAAACATTTTTCGTTTATTGTCTGGCATAGTATCCATCAACATGGCCATGGAATAATGGCCATAAGAAATACATTGTAAACTTCAATGCATAAACGCAAGATTAATTTCCGAATGAAATACTAAATATTTGGTATCTCCGATTTTGTAATTTTATCTAGTGTTAAAATCCAATATGGCGTCAATAAGAAATAAGAAAGTTGGTGTGTTTGACTCGAACCCCAAAAGTCATAAAAATTTGATTATAACATCGTCAGAAAGCTTATAAAAATCACTAAAGGTGGGTTAAAAATTTAAAATTATTTTTTGATATTTATATAACTTCGATATTTGTACAGGTACAAAGGATTTTAAAAGCAAAAATGAACAACACAAAATTCTGCATAACTTTTTAACACGTTGACTGCGGTAGCTTAAAACAAGAACTTGCTGTTGATGCGTTACATATCGCCGGGGTATTGTAATGCAACTTTACCATAGTGCTATACATATCGCCGGGGATATGTAGCCAACTGGTCAAGTAAACCCCATCTAGTTTACTTGTGCGTAATTTTTTGAGTTCCGCAGCGTTGGGACCTGTAAGCTAACACTATTATTTATTTAATTCTGGAACCGTACATATCTCCGGCGACTGGTACCGCAAGAAAGTGAAGAAGACTGTATAGCCCTAAAATTATGCAATCAACTCGAATAAAAAACATTACAACGAACACTATTTTCTTAAAATTGAGGGATATTTATTTATTCCATGTTAATATTAATATTATTATTTCTGATTAGTATTGAAACATGGAAGATAGTACCCAGGTTGGCCTGGACAATCATTACAATAACTAGACCGAAACTAGACTCGTTAAAACTAACAAAATGTTTACGGAATACAAAGATAATGCAACTTGCGCAATTCTGTCATGCAGTATGATGCAATAACCGTAGAAGTAGCTGCAAAACTGTACATATCTCCGGGGGTATGTGCCGCACACAATTAAATTTGTATTAGTCCTGTGCGTTACATGTCCCCGGAGATATATGTACCAAAAAATTCAGTGGCCTTGACTATGCAAAGCACTACCATAAAAAAGCTATACGTAAAACTTATATGTTAAAAATCAAGGAAGATATGGCTTTCGCACACAACGAATGTTTGGCAAAAGTTCGCTTCGTCACCACGGAAAGAAACCCACATATCCCCGAGGATATGTAACGCAGTCAACGTGTTAAGCGACTTTGTATCTCTTACGGTTTATAAGATACCCATAGTCAACATAAAAAAAACTTACTTACTTAACTGTGCAATAATGTTTTTTTATTTCTATAATTTAAAAATTTTTCGGCAAAACTTGCCGCCCCCTAAAATCTAAAATCACAGATGTTGAAATACATGCATTACCGCAAAAGATGGAAATAATATCTTTAAGTACCAACGGATTTCCAAATTGGGGCCGTTATTTAAGAAAACCGATTTTTTAATTAGTGAATGTAATTAAAAAACTAAGACCCATAATCCGCGCCACCTTTCTTTAAGTACGCACGTTGTTGTCACCATTGCAAAGAAGAAAACTTTTGACAATTTGATTGACTTCAACTACAAAAGCAACATTTTATAAGAACATTTGGCCTTTTTTCGAAAGAAAAAATTCCCCTTATGTGACGGTTTTGTCCGTCTGTCTGTCAAACCTTCGCCAATCGATTTCTAAGAGTTCAAGGATCAGTGCTACTTCATTTGAGCCGAATCTAAAGTCTGGTTTCCAAATACGAGCCGAGTGGCAAAAAATTCCCCTACTGAAAATCATGTGCGATTCTTCGTACCTTGTTTTTAAATATGGTGGATTGACTACAGAGGAGCCTTTATTATACTTTAGTTTCGTTAGTTGTTTCAATCGATTTGAGAAATGAGCAGGCGTGGGTATCAATATTAACAGTATGTGAACTTGTGATAGGAAACAGTTAGGCTTGGGTGGCGCTCAACCTGCTGATGCTTGAAAATTGTGAGACAAAACCAATGAACCTAGTAATGCGCAGAATCTAACTTTTTTAATTTGGGGCCTTTTGGTTGTTATTGTGGCAGTTCCATGTTGCATTGGTCTGGATTCACACTACACATGCGCCAAACACTACAATTCGTTTAAAATATTCCCAATGGTTAGTACGGTTTAGCAACAGCAAGGCCGATGACGATCAGTTTAAAACTGTGAAATAATCCAAGGGACTGGTAAAGGCTAACTATAAAAGATTAAAGATAAATTATGATGTAATAGTTGTAATAATGTTTACTCACAATACACATTATTTAGTTATGTACAAAATTTACAGTAATATATAGACATCACAATGTTCCCTAATTATTTGTAACGTTACCTAACCTAAATACTTACATCTAAATACACTGTACAGAACATCTTCATAACTAAAGAAAGCTTAAAAGTAACAAACTAAACCTGTATTCACATTTATATTACAAGGTAATTAAAAAATGATTGATTCTTTTTATACTTTGTATGCTACATATTTATATATTATGTCTATATGCTCTTATTTAGATACCATATTTGCCAACTAACGGGTAACGTTTAATTTACCTTTTATTGTTATCCGAGGGTTACATTTTTCGAATAATAAAACCTGCCGACAATTCCACACTGTTTACTTTAAAAACAAAATCGATTAAAAACAACGCACAAAATAAAAAGAAAAAGAAAGGCGATAAAAAGTGTGAAATCATTTCAAAAATTAAGCGTCATTACAAAATAAAAATTAACAAACTAGAAAACGCACTAATAATGTAACCCCAAGATAACAGAAACGAAAAATAAAATAATCTAAACTCTATTATATATCGACATTTAAAACGTATCTGCGATAGACGAGCAGGCGCGTTTGAAACGTGGAAATCATTCACAAGATAATTAGAAAAAATAAAAATCTTCTGAATAATATTAAATATCTAAATAACTAATTTCATTCATGAGATCTCTTATAGGTAGGTAGTGTATTTTTTATACTTTATAATTTTATAATAGTTTAACGTTAACTACTTTTGTCAAGAAATCACAGTGAAATTTTAAATATTAAGTAATTTTGTTTTTACGTTAGCTTCATATTTCGAGAACAAATTGACAAAATCGTGGACGCGATTTCGTCACGTGACCGAGTCAAGTAGGGCAACGTTTAGATAATAGATATACACAAGTAAGCAACATTTACACTTTCAAATCTAACATTTTTTTGTTTTTAAATGAATTTAAAGATCTTCTTCGTGTCGTTAGCGTGCTATCACACGGTGGTTATAACTATTAGTAGATGTGCAATATCGGATACCCTCTCCAGTAAGTTGGGTGCAATTCTTCTTAGGTTCTCGTTCACGAAATCGCAGGATGGAAAGATGTGAACGACGTACGCGGGCTGAAAGATTTTTAGGTTAGTTAAACGTGATCGGGAAGGTTTTAGGGGGCGTACCGGTTGAGTGGTGCCGGGGGCGGCTACGTTGATGATCCCCGCCGCCTGCTTTTGTTGAAGGTAAGTTATGAAACCGGTGGATAGGTTAGTGGACTGTTTTAGGACGTCCATGTGATCGTGCCCACATGGTAGCGCTAGCAGCATGCAGTGTTCGTTCTCCATCTGGAAATTCAGACCAATCAAATTCATGCTCTGATCTTGCATACGTTAACTAAACACTAAGAGCAAAAGATTAATTCCTCTGCAATGTGTTTTGCAGTTTCCCCCACGCAATCCGCTACCAACTTAACCAGAAAGAGAGGAGCATGTCATTTGGTAAAATTAAGGACCAGTTTTAATGGGTGATTTACATCTATCAAACGGATATCCCCATTCAGGAGTAGGAATTATTTCAAAATCATGCTCAAACACCTACCCATTAGTGCCAACGTAGGGTATTGTTTGATATGGAAAAGCTGGCCAATAAAAAATTCAAAATGGCCGCCGGTTTAACATGCCACTAATAATACTTGTTCAGTGCCGCCATTATGGAAAACGGCGGCCATCTTGAATTTTTTAAGTGCCCACCGTTTTCACGCAAAACAAACCCTTATAGGAGCATTCATACCAAGTTTCATGCTTGTATCATCATCTGAACGATTCAAGCATTTTCTGGCATTTATCTGCCCTACTAGAAAATCAACACAAGTTTGTAAAAACTAGGGTCTTGAAGGCTTTCCAGAGCCTTCCGTTATGTGTACAGCTTTGGTGACGCTTTAGACCCTTTTCAAAGCGGTCGCCTTCCTATGCTGTTCTAAGGGCAAGTACTCCCCAAAATCCTGTAAGTTAGAACTTATCTAATGAGTAGTCTCAGAACAGTGTAGATTCTTTCCAATGAGTTTTAGGCCTTTTCTCAAACATTATCGATTCTTCACAGAGGTAAACGTTTAAAGAGTGCTAGGGGGACGATACAATAATCTGGAAGCGCCTAGGACGTGAAATGCTTTCTACCGGCTTGAACGTTCTGAAAAAGACCTAGAAGCCTATGGAAAGCCTAGACTATGCTCCGGTTAAAAGCATGGAAGCGACTTCTAAAACTCTTTTCGGAATTTTTCGATCCTTTTCAGATTCCAGAGCCTAAGAGTTCCAAAACGTTCCTGTGTACCTATCTTCAGAACTCTCTGGCGCTCTCTAGAAAGCTCCAAATTCTATTCCTGCTATAGATCATATTAACTAGCTTTCTTGCTCTATGCCAAATATCTAAATAACTGACCGGGGGGGGGGGGGGGGGTTGCCACCTGGCCTGTAGATCATAATGGCCCGTTGGAAATTTATAAGTATGTGCTGTATTTAGTTTCTTGCACTATTCATAAATTATTAACACGTTTCTCTAATTGGGGTTGATATTAGGTTGTTAAAAAAAACTGTTTTAATTGAAGTGTTTTACAATGAATTTATCATTTTTTGTCGTAGCATGAAAGTGCTGAAATACAATGATAGGCGACGCACCTCGTGTGGATTGTATATTTTGTTACTTTTAATTATCAGCTGCAATTTAAAAAAAACTGTATGGTAATTGATTTTCGAGAAAGGAGCACTGTTTTTGTGGTGCATCTCAGAGCTAACCCCCCCCCCCCCCCGCCACCTTCATTACTACACTAATACTTTAATGGCCCGTAACCTATGCAATTCCACCTGGCCCTTAAGTACCCAGTCCGCCCCTGACCTGGACTAGTAATTTTGTAACCTTGAGAGTCTTGACGGTTTATCCTGCCACTAAGCTTCCTTACCATAGCAAAAGACTGATACGAGCAAAGATATTCAATGGAACTTCAATGCTCAGGTCACAAAAATATCATTACAAAACTTTAACCGGCTACAAATTTTTGCGCAAAAAATGATGCTTATCCGGTACCTTACATGGCAATGATTTTTTTTCGTTTCAATGCCCACAAAACGTTTCAAGAACGAAATTAACGTGGTTTTAAAGAGATCTCTGGATTCATGATCACGATAGGAGAGTAGACCGGTACCCGGTTCTTTCTTGATAGCCCTGTACAAAAACGCGCCAGTGATGCTTATCCCGTTCCTTACATGGCAATGATTTTTGCTTCTTTTCATTGCTCACAAAACATTTCAAGAACGAAATGAACGTGTTTTTGAAGTGAGATAAAGAATCCAATTATAACATACCTGCATTTTTCTCGCAACGCCCTCTACTTGCGGCGGCTCCAACCGCATCCTTTGGAAGATGCGTAGCGGTGGCGTCGAGCCGTCCGTATTCTTCGGCAGACTGCATTTGGCAACCTGATCGTTGCCGGAAACAAAGTACATCTGTACAGCGGCCTGGTCGTTCTTCAGCGCCAGAAGTCCCTGCCACATGCACGGATATTGCTACGGACAGAACGTTAGACGGGTAAAACGAAGAGAATGTGCGAGATTACCTTGAGGAGCATCAGGAGACTTTCGGCTTGCGGCGGTACTTGACTAGCGTGCGGCGGAGTCGCCGCCTGAAGTCCCCGTTGACTAGCGGGAGCCTCGGCGCCGACGTGCCTGGCGACCGCCCCCATTAAATTACCGGCAGCTCCCAGGCCCGTGCCCAGCGGAAAACCGTGGCTCGACGACAGGGGTCTCTCCGGCGGAATATGCGTGGAGATAGGTCGGTCGGGTACTCCCAATGTTGTAATATGACTAGTGGCTAACGTTCGCTCCTGCGGGAGGTGACTGCTCAACGATCTCTCGGGCGGAAGATGGCTGCCGAGCGGCCTATCCGGCGTGTTTAGCGAACCTATGTGACTTAATGGACGATCGTTTCCTAACGCTGCTAGAGAGCTATGACTAGTTAAAGGACGATGGGCGGGAGGCGGTTCGGTTGCTTGCTCGTAGTAGCGACCCGGGTGGTAGTGCAACCGAGAGTTGTGCATGTTGTACACTTGTCCGAGTTGCGGAGAATCTGCAAGTGGGGGGTTAAACGAAGTTAGGTGGTAAGATGGCGTACCTGTAGTCCGATCGTGAGGCGACTGTAAGCTTAGTGGAACTGCCGGCGAACGACCGGTCAAAGCTAAACCGACCGAGCCCGGCCTTCTCAGCTCGACAGGTGCCTCCTCTCCTTCTTGCCCATCGCCGGCCTTTTCAACGTTTCCAGTCACCAATGGCGACCTACTAAAATCGTTGAGGTTAGACGAGCACGCCTAACGCGAGCGGAACACTTACCTTGGCATGTGGTACGACTGGCGCAGGTACTGCTGGTACATCACGTGCTGCGGGTGCATGTAGTGCGCAGGAAGTAAGTCGTGGGGAGCGCGCAGCTTGACGGAACCGGGCGGGAAGTGCGTCATCGCTTCGCCCTAGATTGAAAAGAGGAACGGATTACGCATCACGATTGAACAACGATAGGCGATTAGTTTTGAAGAAAAGTAGAGAAGTAAAGGAAATCACCTGTGGCGATGGTGAATTTTGATGAGCCGGCGGTGGACTCCGGCTGCGATTATAAACGTTCCTCTCTCCGTGCTGCTTGTTAGTAACAAGAGATCGTTAGTAATTGAATGCACTTCTGGCATACAAGTTACAAGCAGCATAGTGTAAAAAATAGTCAAATTTGGGGACACAAAAATTGAGGGGGGGGGGGCTTGTAATTTTGTCCTTTTTTCAAAATGTCAAAGTGATCGCGTTTTACATTCAGTGTACTTAAATATAAATTTTAACTGTATCTTTGATGATTACCTCCCCCCCTCATTCTGATTACTGAGCTGATGATATGAACAACACTTTAAGGAGGGGTAAGGAGGGGGGTCAATGATCAATATTATTTCGTATTATACTGATTCAACTCGTGTAGATTCAGCAGCAAATACGTGCAGAAAAAGTTTCTTTCGCCCTTACCATAAAATTTTGCCCCCCCCCCCCACCCCTCCGAAAAATCGCTGCAGTCACTTATTATGCAACTGACCTATTCTGTGTTACAGGTCCATTTTTAGTTTAGTTTTGTTTTATTTATTTTGATTTTTAGGTTTGGAATTTGTTTGTTTTGATTTTAAACGCTTTTTCTTTCCTTACTGTTTCACTTTTCTAATTTTCGAAGCTTATGTGTACTATTTTATTCCATGTTACGCCTCTGGTCCGCTTCCAGTGCCATCTATTGTCAGTTCTTGTAAACTACGCTATTCTTTCCCGCTCTTTTCAAAAATCTATTCTTCTTTTCCCGCTAACTTTTTATGTTCCTTAATTATTGGTATTACTGTTCGTTTTTTTTTCAAAATCTTCTACGTTTTCGTTTCCGTTTTGGTCAATTGTCAATTCTATGGTGTGCTTGTGAGGTGCGGAATTTTTGCAGCCGCTTTTATCCGATAATTTTGGGATTTCTACCCTTGTCATAAAGTCTCTACTCATTGCAAGGAATTGGTATTTCTTCCTTGAAAACCCTATTTTGGGGATTAAGAGTGGAAGAGGAAGCGCATTTGTATTTGTGAACTTACCTACAACCAATATATATATGTTACCCTTGCTCGCCGGATTTCAACCCTTGTGTAATATTTTTGTTCTGTATCCTTTTCTATTTCTTCATTGTCTCTTAGGATCCGAGCGTTATTTCACAGTCCACCAATTTAATTGAGCATACATATCTATATATTGTCTCTACGTTAAGGCCCACACCATCTCGTAAGTAGCCTTTTTGTGATAGTTTTAGTTGTTGTAGTAGTAGTTGTGTTGGGTTTTTGTTCTAGGGCCTTGTAGTTTTAGTTATTTCTTGTCTATACTTGTTATACGTACCTATCCACTACTAAGAAATCTTCGTCTTCGTCCATCTTCAGTCTTCAGTCGTCCGTCTCCAGTCTTCAGTCGTCCGTCTTCAATCTACAGTCGTCCGTCTTCAGTCTTCAATCTTCTTTCGATACCCTCAAATTTCTTTTTCCTTGTTCCCTTCTACCCGCATTCCTATTCTTAATCTTCCTCGTATTTAGCCACTGGTCTACAACCGCCAAGTCCGCCGAACAACTGCTGGACAACTTCAGGAGCCAGAACAGCTAAGTTCTGGCGACGAAGACGAAGATTCAAAATCAAAAGCGGCTGCAAAAATTCCGCACCTCACAAGCACACCATAGAATTGACAATTAACCAAAACGGAAACGAAAACGTAGAAGATTTTGAAAAAAACGAACAGTAATACCAATAATTAAGGAACATAAAAAGTTAGCGGGAAAAGAAGAATAGATTTTTGAAAAGAGCGGGAAAGAATAGCGTAGTTTACAAGAACTGACAATAGATGGCACTGGAAGCGGACCAGAGGCGTAACATGGAATAAAATAGTACACATAAGCTTCGAAAATTACAATTGTAAGAAGAGAGCAAAAGTCCAAAGAAGCGAAGAAATCGAAAGAAGAAATTTAAGAAAATAGGCACGCCTATGTGATGAAAATCAAAACAAAATAAACAAATTCCAAACCTAAAAATCAAAATAAATAAAACAAAACTAAACTAAAAATGGACCTGTAACATCTGTAAGAGCGAATTATGCGCTTCTTTCTATATGTAGTTTGAAAATCGTCACAACGTGATCGATCCAGGTGTCAATCTCGGGTATTAGGTGAAATAGTTTTTAAAAAAGATTTTTTGCCCTGAAATGAAATTGCCTCAGACACTTTAGGGCAAAACACCCAAAATAGCCCGCGTTAAATTCCCATCGCTCAAAATTTTTAGAAATGTTGGAAATGTTTTGAGCCATGTCAAACATTATGGAAGTGTCAAAGGTATATGCAACTTTTTAAACGTGCAACGAATTTGGAATTGAATATTTTGAAAATTTTGCAAACGAGCAGGCAATTTCGCGAGCATTAGATAATTTTGATTTTTCCCTTGATTTTTACACTATGTTTGCAAGTACTCAAAAGTGGGACAAAGAAATCGAAAAAGCCAAAAGAAACGACATGCGTAACATTAAAGTCGCTTACCAGGCTGGCCTCGAACGCGGTGATCGGCAACCCAGTCTGCAAAACGTGCCTCTGCTGTCCTTGAGGTGACGAAGATGGGTGAGGAACCATAACGCAGCCACCCATCGAGACCTCCACCTTGGGCGGCTCCATGCTTCCCTTCGCGCTTGCGCTCGGTACCGACGCCGAGCCTTGAATTAGCCGGCCGGTGTTCGCGCCGGGTATCTGCTGCGGGTTGGCGTGGTGCTTCAGAGGCGGGCTAGCAACGGCGCCGGTCAGTATTTGAGGTTGAGGGTGTAAGCCGTGAGGTTTGATGACCGGGCCCTTTCCGACGATTTGCTTCATGTGCGCCAGTTGGGTGTTGACGATTTGTTGGTTGGTGTTTGAAAGCGCGACCGGCACGTGGTGACCTTTTGAGATTGTTACTTGGGGTTGTTGCTTGTTGACCGGCTGTAGAATGTGCTGCTGTTTGTGTGGGGGCACCGCTGGTTGGTTGGGCGAGGGGGGTGCTGGTTGTTGTATCACCTTTAAACCGGGTGGAAGCGCGTGCATCGACTTGGTTATGTTCGGCTGAGGGCTCGGTCTTGGTGAAATGTGTGCCGGGGATAGGCTCGGAGACGATACGCTGATATTCAGATGCTGACTAATTGGAACATTCGGCTTCCCGATGTAGCTGGGTTGGCTTACTGCCGGCGCTGAGCTGACCAGTTTTTGAACTTGGGGTTGAGACACAACCACCCTGGTCACTTGCGATTGAAGCACGTGGGCTTTCAGAGATTGTGGCGGCTTTTGCTGTTGGATGACCGGTGATGTTGTAATAACCGACTGGGCAACCGCCTCCAAGGGTTTAACAATGGACGACGGTTGGGTTACGGGTGGTTGTGTTGCGGGTAATTTCGCCAGTTTCAATGCGGCGGCCTGCAACTGATTAGTGCCCGAAATTGGAATGTATCTTCCTTCCTCGCACTCTCTCATTGGTGTTAAAAGACCTGTCACAGGATCGATTAAGGTCATGGGTTCCTGCTGGTTCATTTCACCCTTTACCCTCCGCAGCATTGCCGCTTTTAATCCCTCGTGTGGTTTCTCCTTGGGCAACTCCACCTTTTCCTCCTCGACTGGCCCTTTCATTGGCACGGTAGTAGGTGGTTTTGCTACCTCCACATCGCTTGGTGTTTCAGGTTTTACGGATTTTTCTTCGCAAGAGTCGTCGGTGGTGTCCGACGCGCGTCGGTCCTTTCGTCGCGCCGCACCACGCGGTGATTTCCTCGGACTTTCTTGTATAACTTTGCTGGCAGTCTGCCTCGCGGATCTCCTCATTTGCAATGGCGTCGCCACTGGCCCCGCCGCTCTCGTGACGACGGTATTTCTTATGACGTCTTCGATCGTATCATCGACTGTATTTCTGGACACGTCCCGTTCCTGCAACCGCCTGGACTTTCGCGTGTTGGTCGGCGAAACGAACTCTTCCTTAGTCTCCACAGGTTTCGGTGACACACTTTCTTTCGCCGCCACCACCTCCTTGACCACCGCAGCTGGCGTGACGGCTGCGCTGTTCGGCGTCGGAGTAACTGGTGACTTTATTGTTAAAATTAATCTGGGACGGTCCTTATTTTCGTCTGTATCATCTCGAAACTCGTAAATATCGGAGTTCTCCAGCTCGCATTTTAGGGTCTTCCTTTCGTTTTTACACCGTCCACCTCGACCGCCTCTCTTCGACACTACGATGGAGGTGGGGTTGGAAGGTACAACTTCGTCTTTTATCACCTTGGTCCGTCGGGTTTGCACGCCACCACGATCGGCGCCTCTGGTCTTACGCCCGCGCGCCCTTCCTCCCCTTCGCCCGCCACGAATCGGCATCTCTTTCTCCTCGGAGTGCTCCTCCTCCTCGGTAACCTCGGAAATGACCATTTTCAATTCGTCACTGGAATTCTCGACCTTGCTCTCTTCGGGTATTTCCGTCTTAGCCTCTTCGGACGTTTTCATGTCGTGCTCGAACCAGTCGTCCTTACCAATCTCGCTGCTGCGATCGGATAACTCGTCGGCCGAACAGAGAGCTTCCACTTTCTGTATCACCGAGTCGATATTCACCTCCTTCGCGGACCAGTAGTCACTATCCTCCTTGGAATCCAAACCGTCATCTTTACTAGCGAGATCCGTCCGCTCTTTACTGACGTCGGACTCGACACTTTCCGTCTCCCCCTTGTCGTCGTCGAACCTTTCGATTTTCTTAATCACGGATATCGTCTCCAATTCCACCTTGGTCTCGGGCTCCGCCGACTCGGCCTTTGCTTCCAGTTTGATTTCCGGTTTATCCTGGGGCGGTTCCACCTGGGGCGTTTCTACAATCTCTTGCTTTTCAACTGGATGCTTTTCCTCGATTTCTGCTTTGGGTAGAGGAGGTGGTTCTGGCTCCTTTTTGGGCTCAGGTTTCGCCTCTTCGGTGTTGCTGGGGGGTTGCGGTTGCGCAACCGTTACAGGGGGAGTGCAAGAGGACAAACTGGCCAATGCCGGCGTCTCCTGTATAACCGGTTTAACTTCGACCGGTTTCGGAGGCACAGTGACTTGTGGTGATATCGTTGCTGGTGGAACGTGGGGAGTTGGCGTATATGTCGTGGGATAGGATGACGGTATTAATCTTGGCAATTCTGGTAGAGGTTTAGGATTATCGGGCACTACTTCTTTGGAGACAACAGGCGGCGTGTACGAGTAAGGAGTGTAGGTGACAGATGGTATCGGTTTTGGAGCTGCATGAGAAGGAGGCGTCCTTGGAATGGTTTGCACAAGCATCCGAGACTGAGAATTTAAAATGTACGGAGACGGCGGCTGGGGCGTCTGATGAATTCCCTTGTGTTGTTGGTCCGTTGCGCTCCCGAGAAAGTCTGATTTCGCAGTGATTGGCTGTGGTAGCGACACTGTTTGTTGAAACGATTTGGTCATCATCACCGGGGTAATCGGTAGACGGTTAAACGAGATTGTGGTTGTTGGCGCCGGCGTGGCCACTGTAGAACTTGGTTTTGGCGCAGAACTGTACTGCAGATGGATTGTAGTACTGTACGGAATCGCAATCGGTGGTTGCTTCACTGCTGGAATTGTTGGAGAAAACACTTTTGCGTCCACGAAACTTTGCAACGGTTCCGGTTTTGATTGAACCGTAACCGCAGGTACTTGCGGCTTCTCGGAGAGCGTTATAACTGGCTGAGTAAAAGGGCGCGTAGTGAATGGTGCCGTTTTAATTGCGTTGAGCGAGGGAACTTCCACTTCAACGGGCTTACGTTCAACTTTCGGTTCCTCGGGCTTGATCTCCTGCGCAGTCGGTTTGGACACCACGGCGGGAGCTTCCAAAACCGGCTTGCTCTCAGCTTTCAATTGCGGAAGAACCATAGGCTTGATCGGAGTTAACGACGGCGGACTACTCAGACTTGTAGCTTTAATCACGAGAGTTGTCGCTTTCTGATTGTCACGATAGTAACTGCTCGGCAAATCGGGAGTTTTCGGCACGTGCGGCGCCGCATCAACCAAATCGGGCGTTTTCGGCGGTTGATCGTAGCGCACCGGTGTCTCCTCCGGCTCTTCGGTATCGGTGTCTATCTGAAGATCGTTCTCGCTTTGCGGAGTGTCGGGCTTAATTTCCAAATCGCTCGAGTTGAGACTTTGAACGGCCTGGCGCATCTCCTCCAGGTCCTCGGCGATGTTAACCTCGGGCACGTTCGTATCCTGCTCGCTACTGTCCAAATTTTGCTGATCATCCGAATAACAACCGGCATACTCGTTACCGCCGAAACTCTCGCCGAGAAGCGCGGCGACCGCGTCCTCGGTCTCCTCCTGCGAGATCACGACGCGCGGTTTCTCCTCGGCCGCTTCCGCCTTCTCGACTTTCACCGGCTCCTCCGTAACCTCACCGCTCACTTCGGGCTTGGGCGACTTAAACTCGGATATCGATTTGATCGCGGTCTCGTGCACTTTCTCGTCAATTTCCGAACCGAAACCGGGAATGAGCTTGTCGCGCTTCTTCTCTTTGGGCGGCGAGATCTCGGCGCTTACTGGCGAACTTGGTTTGTTCAAAGGCGGACTCGATAATTCTAAAATACTCGGCAAACTCGGACTTGACAAGCTCGGCTTTTCGTCGACAACTTCGGCGCTTAACTCGAACTCCTTTTTAATTTCCGGCGATTTCAGCTTGTTTTTATCGTGATGGTGATGGTGGTGTTTGTGCTTTTCTTCCTTGCTCTTCTTCCGTTTCTTCTTTTTCTCTCTCACCTCCTTTCGATCCACCTCCACTTTCACTTCTGAAATTTCGTCACCATCCGTAAATCTAAACGAGTCTTCGTTCCGTTCCTCTTGCTCGCTTTTTACACTGGTTGTCGTGGTATCAAGAATGTCATCGCTGTCATCTTTAATATTGGCCTCCAGCTGTTTGCCCATGTCGATGTAATCCATGCTGTTTTCGTTAATTTCTTCCTCTCGCATACGTTTTTCCTTCTCGCGCCTCCTCTTTTCTTTCCTCTTTTTATGCTCCTCTTTGCGTTGCTCGGACTTGTGAAGCTCCTTTTCAATGTGAGATATACTATCAGAATCGCTGGGGTACATTTGCAACTTGTCATCTCCGAATCGGTCCAAAAACGAGTGATCGGACCTCTCCGGATCTTTGCCGCCGTGCTCAGAATCGTCCGAGAACGAGCCAAATATATTCTCCATTTTCCCATCGCGTTTCGTATCGGACTTGCCAAGCTCAGACTTGGATTTCTTCGACTTTCGCGATTTATCCTTGTGCTTCGTTTCGTCCTTGCACTTATCTTTCTTCTTGTCCTTTTTGCTATGTTGCCTTTTCTTCTCGGAGTTCTTCATTCTTTCTATACTTTCGTCTTTGATCAACTCGACGGTCAACTCCAGCTTCGTATCGTCTTCGCTTGTAAGCGAGTGCTTCTGTCGCTTTTGCTTCTTTTTCCGTTTCCTGTGCGTGTCGCTCTTCTCCTTTTTGGTTTCGTGAGTCTCTTCGGCCGAGGACACGTCGCCGAAGATTCGCGAGTTGTCGTAGGCGCTTTCAGATTTTGTCTCGGGTATGGGAGATTCGCCGAAAATCTGCACGCTAATCTGCTCGCTGGTTAACTCTTGCTTATTCCGTTTCTCTTTCTTAATGTACTTATCCTCGTCCTTCACCTTCTTATGCGATTTCTCCTCGAGATCTATGAAGAGGTTATCCAGCTCGCTATCGGAATAAATCTGCGATTTCATCTTGTAATCCCTCAACGTTTTAAAGTCATCACCAGAGCTGTCGCTGGCAATTCGCGATTTCGACGACTTTTTACTCTTCACGGTCTCATCTTCGCTGGTTTCCACGTGATCGATTTTGCTCGGTCTGTGTTTATCCGAGTCGGAATCAGTGTACAAGTCTCGTTTTTTGCGTTGTTTACTCCTGCTACTGACGGTGTCGTCATCGGAACTTGTGATCAGCGCCTTGGAACTTTTGCGACTTTTCTCGCTCTTCGTGTGCTCGCGCCTCTCGTGCTCGGAGTCAGAATCCTCGTCCCAAGACGTCGACCGTTTCTTCTCCTCCCGCTTCGCTCGGCTTTGCTTGAGCTGGTTGAATTTCGCCTTAAGCTTCTCTTGGCGCTTCTCTTCTTCTTGCTTTTGCATGTTCTTACAACTTCGGGCTTTAACCTTATCGTACATCGAAATGTACGCGGGCTCGTCATCGACAATATCGAATATGGAATGTGGTTGTTTCTTCGGCTCATCCGAGTCGGTTGCCGCATCCGAACTCGTCACCTTCCTGATGCGCTCCTTCTTGGAGTTTTTCTTCTCCTCGGACTTCGAGCACGGATTCTCATCGCGACTTTTTCTCTCGGTCGACGCTCGCTTTTCCTTTTTCCTATCCTCGGTTTTGCGATGTTCCTCGCTTTTGCGCTCCTCCAACTCGACGGTCTCCTGCTTGCGCTTCTCTTTCGACTCTTTCCTTTGTCGCATCCTCTCGGAATCTTCGGTCGACTGCAAATCGAGCCTCGCCAAAAAATCCTTGTCGATCGACGAGTCTTTACTTGGAACTTTCGAAATGGGGGAATCTTTCTCTCGGATCTTCTCTTTCGATTTTTGCTTGTCTGTTTTTTGCTTATGTTTGTGCTTCTCCTCCTTGTCTCGATCTTTGACTTCCTTTACGCTGTTAAGCTTCTCGTGTCTCAATTTATCTTCTATGATTTTGGCTATGTTGTTTTTATGTTTCACCTTAACTTTTTCGTCACTTCTAATATCCTTCGAGTCTCTCCGATCCGATATCTTCCGATGGTCCTGACTTAACTTTATCTTTTTAATTTCGTCTATTCCTTCAAATGAGTCTTGAGAACTTAATCGTCTTTTGGAGCCGAGGTTGGCAGGTAAACTGTTGTTCCTTTCTTTTCTTCTGCCGATGTCGACTTTGCTTTTCTCGATATCAATGGAAAAATGTCGACTTTCTATCGGTTTGCTGTTTTCTTTAACCTCATTGACAATGTTAACGATTTTGTCGTGTAAATTGTTCTCTCTGTTTTCCTTGCAACTGTCCCTCTTCTTTTCAGAGTCTCGGTCTTGATGATGCTTGCTTTTCTCGTCCCGTCGGATTTCCCTACTTTCGTGGTTGTTTTTGTTCTCGTGGTTATTTTTGGAATCGATCGTATCTTTTCTGGACAATTCGTTGCTGGTATCTTTTGTTCTAGATTCTTTGGTATTTCTTTCGGTGGTGTCTTTATGCTTGGAGTCGCCGTGATTATCGCGATGCCGATGTTCGTCTCGCCGCTTTTCGTGATTGTCTTCTTTGTGTTTTCGCTCTTCCTCTCGCTTCCGCTCCCGTTCCATCCGCTCCTGTTCTTCTTTTTCCTTCCTTTCTCTTTCTTCCCGCTCTCGCCTTTCTCGCTCCTCCTTCTCCCGCCTTTCTTTTTTCTCGCGCTCTATTCTCTCCTGCTCCTCCCTTTCTCGCTTTTCACGCTCCTCTCTTTCTTTTCGCTCTTTTTCCTCTCGCTCGCGTTGGAACTCGCGCTCCAGCCTTTCTTTCTCGACCTTCTCCTTCTCTAACCTCTCCTTTTCGGCGCGCTCTTTCTCCAGTCGCTCTTTCTCGATTCGCTCCCGCTCCAACCGCTCTTTCTCTAACCGCTCCTTCTCCAATCTTTCTTGCTCTAAACGTTCCCTTTCCAAAATCTCTTTCTCCAACCGCTCCTTTTCTAACCTCTCGTTCTCTATCCTCTGCAGTTCGCCCTTTTCCTTTTCGTCCGACTTTCTATCGCACGCAGTATCACAATTGTCACTTTGTTTATCACCTACATCGCTTCTACGTCCACTACTACTCTCACTATTTCGTCTATTCCTAATTTCACCTCTAGGCGACCCGCCACTACTAGTCGAATCCCTACGATTAGCCACTTTATCACGCGCACTTTTCACTTTCGTATCCGCATTTGAACTAACGGTAGCATTGTCACTTGGATTTACAGGAATGTTGACACCATTTTTACTACTGTTACTTTGTGTCGAATTTGTTACCGCTAAACTACTACGATTTACACTCAATTTAGAAGAAGTCCTACTATCACCACTTGAACTATTATTAGCACATAACTTGAGTCTATTGTCGCCATGGCTGCTAACTCGCGAAGTGGACGTCGGTGGTAATGGCTGCGGCGTTTGTACCGGAGGGGTCGATGGTGCACTGATCACAGTTTGAAGCGGGGGATGACTCGGAAATGGGTACTGCAGACCTTTGGCCGTCGGGATATTGGAACCTGAAAGTATTATTATTATTATTATTATTATTAAATTTTATGCTCTTTCTCGAAGGTCTTATTCTAGGTCATATTCAAAACTTACGGGGTCGGGTAAAAAAAACCTTAACTTACCCCTCGACTTAACCTCATTTGTTATTATAATGGAATGCCCTGTATATATTAATATAAAAAGGTAATATATTAATTTTTTTCAAAAATATAACACTAAAAAATTCAGCATTGTTTGAAAGACTCATAAGATTTTTTTTAAAATTTTTAATTCAAAAAAATTTTTTTTGTATTTTTTGTATCATTTGGACTATTTTTTCAATTTTTTTCAAATCTTTTTTGAATCACTACAATCTATGTTCGAATATTGGCGTGTCCTATTTTTGCAAAAAGAATGTAATAAGTATTCCAGGGTTAAAATATACAAGATGGTCCAACAATCATAAAGAAACTGTTACAATAAATATTTTTCTGTATTTCTCTTCACTAAAAAAAGTAGAGCCATTCTGAAATTGACAATTTTTTGATTTTCCCCCTTTTAAGAGAGCTAATATTTTCAAATTTTGATTTAACCATTTTAAATTTGACCCAAAAAGAGCACATGAAGCCAATATTACTTTTTTGATAACCCTACCAATCACAACAGAAACACGCTATAAAAGTGTCGAAAATCGAACAGCCTGTACATAGCAAAAATGGAAATATTATTTCAATTTTGTAAATTTCTCAGAGGCGGCTCCTACCTAATCAGAAATTTTATGGTCATTCGAAAGACTACTTGAATTTTGCAAAAAAATTTTAGGGCAAGGGTAAATTTTTTGAAGGCTCTTTCAAAAAGGTCATATTCAAAGTTTGCGTAGAACCAACCGTTTTCTCGTACATACCTGAAGATCTAGGAGATTGTATGGTGGGAGTCTTTGGCAATTGCGCGGTGGTTGTAGCTACCTTCGGCACGGGAGGTTGTACGGGTGGTAAAGGCGTGACAGGTACCGTAGTTTGGACCGACGGCGTCGTTGGCGTTTTCGGAAAAAGGTTAATCTCGTACTTCTCGCCGACGTTCTCGAGCCTTTTCGAGTCCTCGTCGAAGACGGAGGGTTTTGCCAGCACTGATTTAACTATCTCCGAAGGCTGAAGCTCTTTAAGATCGAGATCTAACAATTTATAACTAAACCTAAACCTCTCCGATGCCGAGGCGTCCAATTTGGCCAGTGCTTCGCTGCCCGCAGCGCTCACTGCCCTCGAGCCGGACCACTTCTCGTACTTCTCGTCGAGGGAACGGATTCGTTCGTCCAAAGACGGGCTGGGTGGCGTTATGTCGCTGTCGCTAGAGTTCGAGCTGAGCGAGGGCGGTCTGGGTGGCGGGGAGGCGGGCGGTGGTACCTGGGCCAGGCTGGGCGTGAGAGGGGTGGAGACTCTCGGGCTGGTGGCGGCCGGCGGAGGGCTCGACAGCACGTTGTCCTTCTGTCCCTTGATTCCGGCGACGGACACGTTTCCCTTTCCCAAGACTTGCGCGGCGAACCGAGGCAAGGGCAGGCTTATGGGCCCCTCGCGTTCTCGAGGTATCCTTCTGGGTTCGGTGGGGAAGTCCGGTTTTTCGTCGCATAGCGGCGTGCCCGGTCGAGAACTGCCGACGCTTTCCGATCCGGAGAGTTCGTGGTGTTGGATTTTGGAACTGCTGTCGCTACCCGCCGTTTTTCGCCGCTTGCAGACCGCGTGAGGCATGTAGGCGATTCGGTCTATTCCGACTCCGTGCTTGCTGTCGACTGATGGTCTTCGTGAATGGTGTTTGAGGCTTCCGTCCGATGTTCGTCTGATTTCCATTACTTTTCTGTGGTCGCGATTCGCCTCTATTATGACATCGCTAGCCGCGGCGCCCTCTAAGATGTCGAGCCGTATCCTTTTCTTCGGACTCACCAGCTCGTCCCCCGAGCTGGGGTAGTCCTCCAGCTGTTCCAGTAGGTGGTAGCGTTCCTTTTGCAGGTTGCGGATGTCGGGTGGTGCAAAGGTTAGGGTGACCTCGGTGTTATGCTGCAACGAGCGAGATTCTAGGGAGTCGATGTGCGACGGACTTTCCCGATTGAATGGGTATTCGTGTTCGTAACCGTCTTCGTGCGAGGCCGCACTGCCTTGACTGTATTCGTCATAACTTCGGTACCTTCGCTCGCCGTATTCCGTTACGCCCTGATCGTAATATTCGGCGAACCTCGCGAGACGCGAACGCGAGCCGCTCCCTCGAGGGGTCACCGAGCCCGGCGTGCTAGGCGAGTGAACCGTAGAAGTTGCGTTACACTGACCGGTCGTGGCACTAGTTCGGCTGCTGTACGAAGCAGTTCGCGGTCGCGTAGGCGTCTCGTATCGCGCGAATCGCGTGGTGGCAGTCGGAACCGCGACATCAAACGTTCGCACTGCCGCAGTCCGGTCCTCAAAGTTCGTCCTATCAGTCGTATGTCCTTGTTTTTCTAAATGTTCGTAAAATGCCTCTTGACACTCCCGACTGGCAAAGTCCACCTGCATTTTGCGACCGCGCATGTTCACTCCGCGCATTTTCGCGACAGCCGCCTGCGCGTTAACCACTTGGTCGTAGAAGATTAACCCCTGCCCTTTATCTCTGTCTATCTTCACTTCTGTAATCGGTCCGAACGAGTCGAACTGTAACGTCAGGTACTTTTCGTTAACACTATCCACAACACCATCCAACCACACACAGTTAGTCGGCATCGACTTCCCAAACCCTAGTTTAATACGATTATTACCTAAATGTTCGCCATCCATCGCCCGGATGGCTTTAACCACACTAATAATGTCCGAGTACTGGCAAAATGCGTACGAACTCACAGCCCCTTGTTTTTTAATGTCAATTTCTATAATTTCCCCGAACTGGTCGAAGTGTTTCCTGAGATCAGAAGCGGTAACGTCCTTCTCCAAGTTACCGATGAATAGTGTGCGCGTCGCCTTAGGATGAAACTCGTCGATTTCAGCCTCGTACGGTCGCAATTCGTTGTCGTCCACATCGTATCCCTGATACGGAGCGACTTCAATTTTACACCCGAAAAATAGTTTATCGTAACTGACTTCAAGAGCCTTATCGACGTCCTCCGGCTTTTTAAAGCAAACAATCGCGTGCCGCTCCGCGCCCTGACCGACGATTTTCACCCACGTCACTTTACCGTGCTTCTTATACTCGTGGAAGAGTCCGTCCTTCAGCGACGTGTCCGACGATCTTAGCGGAAGATTCCGAACGCAAATGGCCAAAGGCCTCCTATCGTCCGAATGCACAACGGGCTGATGGGAGGCGTTTCCCGACAACGCCACCCTTCGAGATTTCGGCGAACTCGTCGAACTGGACGCGTGCGACGTGGTGCTACTCGAGGAACTACTGCTACTTTGCGATCGCGATCTCGTCGGCGAACGACTCGACGTGCTACCGGATGGGGATATCGACCTACTGCCCGACCTCGATTTGGTCTTCTTTTTTGTACTTTGGGAATCCGACGATCTCCTGTCGTTCGTGTCGGAAGTCGTCGTTCCATACCCTGTTTCACTATTGTAACTTCGCGAGGAGTCGTACGACCAGGTACTATTAAGCGGTCTATGTCGATCGATGACGTTATTGTACGGACCATTTCGATATCCCCTATCCCTATTGCGACCCCTACCGTCGTGGTAACTCGTTCGGCGGATGTATTCGGCGTCTGTTACACGACTGTTGTTCCTCTCGTAGAACCTTTCGGGAAAGTTTCCGTGTTCTTCCGTTGTTCTGAAACGAAAACGGTAATTTAGTGACAATGCACGAATTGTGTTACCCAACCCGGTTGTAGGGTAGCTTGTGGACATTTCATCTAACAGCTCTAAATAAAATTACAACCCTCACACTAGATGATCGTGATTTTCAGAAAATTAAAGAAGGGTTATCTTTCTATATTTTGTATCATTTTTCAAAAAATTGTAAAAATCCAATATGGCGCTCGTGACTAAGAAAGTAGTAGCCTGTAACTTCTACATTTAGCATGTTATGGAAATTCTAATAACAGATTCAGATTCTCCGAAAAAAATGCTCGTAGAAGGTGCTAGAGGGAACCGTCCCTTTCCAACCGTTTACACTAGGGAAAATGCAAACGAAATTTGACATTTTCAGTTTTTCTGTGATATCTCGGTTATTTTCAAAAATTTCAAAAGCATTATTTTAGTCAACGTTGCCCCCAATTAACTTACACGGTATCTCTCACAGTTAGGGAGATCCCAATGGTGAACCACCCTGTACATACAGATTGAAAAAAAATTCTTTTTTAAAAGTTGCCCAAAATGATCTAAAGCGTCGACATTTGATGAAACTTTAACGTGTCCCGAAATGGAGATCGCAATAACAATCCGCGTCTTATGTGAAAATTCAAGTCTAATTTAGGGATCGTTGGGCAATAATTATTCACGTTATTTAGATGATTGTATTCAGTTTCTTTCTTTCAAATTTCACAAAAAAGGCACCTGGTCCAGCGTTTCACGAAGGAGATGACTATTGTAAACTATGCAGGTTAATTTGATAGGAGTTAATTAGTAAAAAACGGCTTCCATTAACAAAATTCGATAGCAAAACTGCAAGAAAACACAAGGAGACTTCAACGGAGTTCCAGTGTTTACACCTAGAACTCAAGGACAAAATGGCGATGAGAAAAATTTCTATTCGCACCAAAAAGTAATTAGTATTTTCTTCAATGATCAAATGTAATCAGTAGTGCTATTTACATACAGGGTGGCAATTTGAAAACTTACCACCCCCCATGTCTTAGTAAATAAACGAGATATTTTAAAAAATCAAAATTCGTTTCGGTGATTCGGAGGGGGAATCACAATGACATAGTTGGCAACGCACCCCCTCCAACTCTCTGCGCCCCAGCCACCCCAACTTTTAAATCTTAACTAGTGACCCCCCATGTATGATACGTTGTTGGAAAGCTCTGAAAAAATGCTTTCCAACCATGAGAATAGATTATACTACTGTCTTACCAATAACGGAAACCATTTTGAACATTTATTGAAATACAAGCCAACTTTAGAAAATATATCATAATTATTAGTTTATTTTTTAATTTGCACGATAATTATAAAACCTAAATGTAATGTTATTTGGTATGGTTGGAAAGCATTTTTTCAGAGCTTTCCAACGACGTATCACACCTGGGGGGTCACAATTTAAGATTTAAAAGTTGGGGTGGCTGGGGCGTAGGAGGTTGGAGAGGGTGCGTCGCCAACTATGCTATTGTGATTCCCCCTCCAAATTACCGAAACGTATTTTGATTTTTTAAAATATCTCGTTTATTTACTAAGACATGGGGAGTGGTAAGTTTTCAAATTGCCACCCTGTATAAGGACAAAATTAGGGTAAGCCCAAAATTCCATTTTTCCGATTAAGGTCACCCGAGCTCAGGCCGTGGAGAAAAAAGGTACCTGTATTTTGCATTTTTGCGTTTAGAACTAGCTCTGGAACTACTAGGCGCTTTACCCTAACGGTCTTCATGGATGGGGTGAATAATTTGACCAAATACACCTGGTTTGGAGAAGATGAAACATGAGAATTGGAACTGACTGGAGAACGCTTCAAAAGATCGAGAGAATTTAAATATCTTGGGTTCACCATGGGACTTTTGGAGAAGTTGGACGTGATGGAAATGGAAATGCGATTAAGTAGACCAGGAAAGCCACTCTTAGAAGAAGAATGATGAATCTGATGGAAGAAAGGCGCGCGGAAGATCGAAGAGGAGGCGAAGGCGGATGATTTAATGGAGAACGAGCTCAGGGAGCAGGAGAAGAACTTCGGTTCTTACTCTTATGTGGCAATCCCAGACTAAACACCTTACACTATGCGATCAAAAAAGAGTTGCTGTCGAGTTACCTTTGGAATTGTTGTTTAAATGGAAAATCACATTTAACTTGAACTTCTAAAGGGGACTCGATGTCAAGCCTTTTTTGATCGCCGGTTATAACGCACCAAATGTGGAAGGACAACTTTGGAACAATCTGAAACCTTCGTTTTTAGTTGTAATCCCAAATAAAAAAATCGAATGGCGCACAAAACTTAATAATAGACGCACAAAACTATCACAATTCATAATGTAAAGCTTCGAATTATAAATATTGACGCACAATTAGTGGAACGTTTCGCTTCTTGGATTTGGAGAACCACGTAAATTATCACGCCATATCACGAATCACGTATCCCACGTATCCCCAGTTTTGCATTACCTCATAATCACGGGACACTTTTCCGGAATCCCCCCAGTTCCCATCTCTGCTCGCCTCGAGTACAAATTGCGTTCGCTTCTCTTTCCGCACTGCCCAAAAACGTACAGGAAAGGCACAACCGTCCAACCTCCATTTAGAAGTACTGACTACTAATCGCAGATATCGCGTAAGGAAAATTATCTCGGAAAGATAAATAATTTAAACTGTAAATCAACAAAATTTTCGAGATAACTGCCCTCCATTGTGTTACAACACATTCGGAGCGACTACTCGATGGGGCACTTATCTATCGCGACATGTGAACGCGGTCTGAAAAGGGCACGATTTGGTGCCATTCTCCAATTCTTTAATTATGCATACGCGCAACAGGTTGGGAATAATCGCGAGATAAACAATATCGTAACTGTAAGCAAGGTCGCTTTGGGCCAATTTACAATGCAAATTAACGTACGTATGATAAGCTAAAGTTGGAAATTTTTCGTAGGTACCTACTGTTTTATAAATAGATAGATGAATAATCATTTATTTACTTACACGTCGCTGGCATTAAATGTTAATGAGAGAACGGCTATAGCTTTGTTTTCAATACTGCCCATTTCGAGACTGTGGAACAAATTTCTTTCTCACCCATAGAGATTACGTAATTAGCATCTTTATTACACTAGGTGACTGTACGCATTTACTGAAGGTCATCATTCTATGGTATTTTTCGAAACCAACCTCCAATCATTTTTTGAAACATTTTTTGATTTATCTAGTTCCCCATACCGAGTAAAAACCTATGAAGGTTTTCAAGAAAAACTTTTCTGTTTAGAACCTTCCCACACATCAGTTCAAATAAATTTCAGAAGTATTTTCCCACGAAAGGTGAGAGAATTTTGATGGCTCTCTCTCGAAAATGATCAATAATGAATATTACAAAAAAACCACCGCAGGAATACCACTAAGCAAGAATACTCGATTTTGAACTTTGGTATTCTCCCGACGTCGCTGTTAGAATAGTGGACACATATCAAAAAAGTGCAGGTGTACAAATCTGTTCATAATTTTGAATCACCTTGATCAACTTGTTTGCGACATTCGTTCAAGCGGAAGCGTTTTTGATATTATCGATATGGGCTAAATTAATTTACTATAACCACATCGATAACGTGCGATAACGATTAAAAACTCGTAGTCAGAGTATCTGACATCGCAAGCGTTTTTTAGAATTGCAATTTCAAGAGCATGCAAAGATCAAAGGTCCAAACGCTGATCCCTGCTGCACGCCACGTCCCGTTTTCCAAAACTCTTCTCAATTTGCATTACAGACAGCAGGTAGACAAGGCGGAAAATGACCACCTGCTAAAAGATGAAGTGCAATTTTGTAGGCCACCGACGCGGAACACGGAAATCATCAAAGTGTCAGAAAATAAACAACCCAACGTTTCGTTCAAGTGACGTAGGCCTTCCTTCGAGCGAGTCGCCATTATGAGTAATTTACATACAATGTGGCAACCGGGAGTAAATAAAAACACAAATTTTAAGCAATAGTCATCTTTAAACGGCTAAAAGTAGATGTAATAAAGATCAACATGAATATTTAACTTGTATAAATTACGAAAATCTTGATAAACACGGTTGTATTACTTTTTGCTCACTGGTGTGTTTACTTCACGAACGGTTACGGTTACCGCGCCGGTATGAGAATAAAACGGAAAAAGTTTAAGATCAATTGATGGAGTTGAAGAAAAGTTGATTACGCCGGCATGAGAAACGCAATTGGCGTGAAAGTGGTTTTGAACAAATGGTTTTTGTCCGATTGCCATAATCTTATCACATCTTGCCTAAATACGTACGTGTTTTCCGAGTATCCGTGTTAAAAAATAGTCGAGTTAGACATAAAAAGGCAAACATGAAAATAGTGCCAAGGGTACCACTTGAAATAACAAAATTCATTACCCATTGGCGGCCATAACGTCCCGATTTTAAGGCAATGAACCCGTTTACAAATTTCATATAAAGCCTGCAAGAATGGTACAGCACCGACATCGAAATTGGGATACCCTGTACAGTATATCTTCTCTGAAATCATGAGACAGATAGAAAGTATTTAAGATCTCCGTCCTAACTATCAACATGTTTTGCTGTTTTCCCAACGAAAATCACCACAAAGTTTTCTACTAGCATTAAATTAAATGCATTTTTCTTGCATTAACACATATTAGGTTTCATTTCGTACCTGAAAAGATTTAAATCATTAATTAATTCCATTCATTAGTTAGATTAGAATAAATTGAGTAAGAATTTTCAATGAATATTTGAGAATTTCTGGGTATCACCTATGGATAGTCTCAGCTTTCCAATGCACTTAGGTACGTGTATACAGTGTGTCCCCGGATCGACTTCACTTATCACTACACGTGTGATTGATCAAACATTTGATTTGTAGTCTTTCATAGCAACCACAGAAACAAATATCCTGTGCAAATAAAACAAATGAATTATTATTACCTGTCATTAAGATTAAAATGACACCTA